GAAGAAGGCCTCCAGATGTAACATGTATAGTAAATCTAATTTATTTGCGGGCACAAATAAAAACAAACCTTGTAGGAATGGGTAAAGCAGGCTATTTCGTATCGTTCAGCCGGCTGACCTGTTTCCAGCGGGGGCTCGCGTGGTCTTATTATATTTTATGAAGCTCCCTTGCATGCCTGAGGGGATTTGTAATGTTTGCCACTCGGCGACAATGTCGCTAGATCTTATTACCACCTTTCTACATTATCCTCTGCCGCAGTATTTATGTCATATGTGCCGTGATTTGTATCCACGCATTCGTAAAAATGTTTTGTTTCTTTTTGGCGTGTTTGGGTGCTATTTTCCTCGTAATGATATTTCTTTTTCATAAGTAGTTCTAATCATGTAATATTTGATTGGTACATAGGTAGACTACCAACTAACTTACTTCCCTTTTGTAATCGCGATTGCTCACACTAAGTCTGTCTAGCACACTTCTGTATTTTTGTGTGTTTATCTCTAACAAGGACAATAGGGATACTATATCAATAAAAATTTTAATTTTAATTTTCGAAATATGTACATACATATACATTTTATCTTAGTGCGTGTACTTCAAAATCATGTTATCTATATATATATAAAAGAAAGTCGTGTCAGTTACACTATTTATAACTCAAGAACGACTAAATCGATTTGGATGAAAATTGGCGGGGTGGTAGCTTAGAACCAGGAGACGGACATAGGATACTTTTTATCTAATTTTTTTTTTTACTTTTACGAAAATCACGTACGGGAACGGGGGGGAAATGGGTTTGCGCGTACGAAGTCGCGGGCAGAAGCTAGTTTCCAATAATTCTCTTTTGTAATAAAAATAATAATGTACCGTAGGTACACTGTTTACCCTTCAGACAAAACATTAGGTTACATCTCCAGGCTATAACAAAAACTATTCCAATAAAATGTTTGTTCCAATGCCCATCTCTGTCATTCCGTAGCCGTCTACGAGTAATAATGCTACGAGCTACGAAGCTACGAGGCTACGAAGAATTAGCCTTAATAAGATGAGAATATAAAATAAAACTACCATTATAATGGTTTCTATGTAGTATCTTGTCTGTCTTGGAAAGTATTTAGGGTTAATAAGTGCAAGAAGAAGGCTCTGAAAGCCTTTTTTCTTGACGGAGGGTAACCTTCAAAAGGCGTTTAGGTTTTTGGGGATGAAGACTATAGGAATGGTTTTTACCTCAATAAAACCTCCCCGGTGGCCACCATCTTCACCTGAAAGAGGCACCGGGTCTTAATAGACACATCGCGATACCCCCACGGTCCAATGGCTGTTACGGCACCTTCCTATGGAAACCTATGTATCTAGCTTGAGCCTCTCTGTGCAGTGCACGGCGGCACGTGACCACTGCGCCGCCGTCTTCCTTGAGGTCATTAGGTGGGCGCCTAGATTCCCCACTCTATGCACACATGTTTGCATGCCTATATAGTAGGCAAAGTATCCTCATTGCCTTCGACGAATGGGATCGGCCCTCTCACGATCCCGCCTGGTGTTATGAGTGGAAGGATCAATGTGATATTAGATAAGATTCCAAAAGTTCTTAGTTTTCTAAAAAAGTTAGTAAATAAAAAGATTAACTAATTATTATTTAAGGTATGAATGTCAAAAAAACATTCTTCTACAAAAGTCATAACTAAAAACCGCTTCTATGATACAAGCACCATTTAGTACAGGTTATTTATCTGATTGGTCTAATACTTAGTATTCTAGGCCTACCCACTTCAACGCTACCTTAAAATAGCCTTAAACGGCGTAAAAGAGGTGCTTTTCCAACCTCTGTAAGACACCTTCTCAAATTGAGTGTGAATGACACGAGATACGCCAATGTATGGAAACTTCAGAAGTTGGATTTTACTGTATACATTGGTGAAGTTACAGACATGCCTTATCTTATTCTAAATAAGGGTATCGATTAGAAGACACTCACAAAATAACTGAATTATTATTTTCATATTCACAACTTTCATTGAGTAAGAAGTCTTGTATTTCGTCTGTAAATACTACTGGATAAAACCGATAATAGCTATAACTGACTAAAAGTGTGTAAACTATAACATCACACATCTGCCTATCTTATTGATGATGTTGTTATGTATAACAAAAACTCGTTGTAATAGCAGCTAATGCATGTGAATATGGGTAAAGTTCCTGAACAGCCATCCACAGCGCAATCTCAAATTAAATCTGCCGTCGGGTCGGAGTCGCGAATGCCAACCGTCGTTATAAAATATGTATACAATAGTCTTTTTTCGGTACTTTTATTAGGTAATGTATAGACCAACAGCTCTTTATAAGATCAAAACAAAAATTGTTTCTTAAGCTCTCGCGTGTTCGTGTCAGGTAAGAGGCTAAGTTGAGACTCCTTTATTGTTACCTACATTTTTGCGAGTTCTTTTTTCTACTTGTACGACTGTGTTATACCTTAGGCTGAATATATTAAAGATTTATTTGGTAAGAACTACACACGACACCGGTTGTATGAATAACTTCGAAGTCTAAAACCTAAAGTCATGTTTCTAAAATTCAATACTAAGATGAAAACGTAATCGTAGTCATACCAAGTCACATTGGTGATCACTGTCAGAGTGTTGCACTTCGATAAACCACAGAAAAGAGAAATACTGTGATAATAAAAAAAAAATTAAGAGAAATATTGTGTCATTTTTACGTGTGGGAGAGCCATGCTTCGGCACGAATGGGCCGGCTCGACCGGAGTGATACCACGGCCTCACAATAAACGGACATGAAGCAACGCTTGCGTTGTGTTTTGTCGTGTGAGTGAGGTTACCGGAGGCCCAATTACCCTCCCCTTCCCCAATCTCCCCAATTCCTGAATCCCCAACGATCCTCAAACTCCTAATCCCCAAAAGGCCGTTAACGCACTTGTAACGCCTCTGATATTCCAGGTGTCCATGGGCGACGCCGATTGCTAACCATCAGGTGATCCGTCATTACCGAAACGTATAAATAAGTATTTACTTAAATTACAATAATTAATTATTAACGGTCTTTAGAAAGATATCAACAGTTTAATAATACATGAATAAGTAACTTTGTATTATAGCAACACAAGTGTTGTAATACGTATTTCATACATTTCAAGCTCAGAATGTACCCGGCCATATTAAGGGGCGGTGCACATTGCGCCGACGTCCACTCTCTGCTACCGACGGCCAAACCAACCGATTTACCTACTGGTGGCATCTAGCATGTTATTTCACAATTACACTGCTACATGACTAGTTGTGTACAATACTACACAGCTCCTCCTGTATAACTTTGCAAACCATAATACACTTTACACGTATAATTAGTGTGGATTTTAGCTATCAAAAATAACAAAACTAGTAGATAACACTTTCCCACGTAGTACATACGCATATTAACGCAATCACACAACTATTTGCAACATGATATGAACATGACTCCCATTATTTCCCGAAAAGACCAAAGTTCTAATCACAGTATCAGATTCCGTGCTATTGCTGAGAATTTTACTAAGGGAATGTATAATAATATTTCATAGGCCATAGGGTTAGATAATTATCAATACTATAGTATGTATGACTGCGTCGTCGGCCGATGGTTCGATTCCCGGGTCGGGTAAAGTATTACTGAGTTTTTCTTTAATTCCTAGTAGTACTGCACGGAGGTTGGAATTGTGCCCGGTATATGGCAATAGGCTCACCCTCTATTACATAGGACTCATAACATAAATAGTGAAAAGTGGGTGTCACACTTCTTAATGTGCAATCTATAATTTTATTTTTAACTAGCGACCCGCCCCGGCTTAGCACAGGTGCTAAATTCATGTATTACGAATATAAACCTTCCTTAAGAATCACTATATCTATTAAAAAAAACTGCATCAAAATCCGTAGTAATATTCAATTTACACAAAGCTGTAAAGTACTAAAGCGATATCAATAATTTCGGAAGCATTTCCGTTTTATTATTTGACAAGCATTTTTATTTAGAGGTATTTTTTAAATATAAATCGCAAAAAGAACAAAGGCAACAAGGCAATGTAAAACCAGTGACTTACGGCTGTGACGTAAGAAAAAAAAGGGGTTTCTAAAATATATTATTTTATTCGTTAACAATGAAAACAGTTATTCCACTTATCATTACAAAGCACCAATATTGTTCGGAGATATTTTATAAAATATATATTTTATTATAATATAACCAACCTAGGAGTATCTCGAGGTATTTCTTAACAACTTTGAGGGCTACAAACAAACTTCTTTGATCAACATATTACCAAAATAAAAAAAATAAAAATTCTATTGTCACGCAACTTGCCCCCAGGGTTGTTATAGTTAAGGAGTATTTTGGTCAAAACATGGCAACTGTTCAATAAGTACAATAATAATTACACGAAATTTCATATCTTATAAATAAATTGTTCGAGTTTTCTCGCCACAAAGTACTAGAAAGAACGTCTCAAGTCATAATTATTACAAATAAAAAATTGCGACGACTAGTCACTATGCCTTAATTACTTAGAAAACGAAATATATACAAAATGTTCGTATGTTTTCTATTCAGAACAGAATATGAGACAAATTTCAGAAACTTCAGATGGTTGACGACTCCTGAGTAGATTTGAATGATAACGTCTAGACTACTTCTCTCAATATAATGTTACTACATTCGTTACATTTAATTACGTATGCCATCATGTTAAGACTAATTAATATCAATAAAAATGTACTAGACAGAGTTTTTGTACGGTAGCAGTTCAAAAACTGACTCGATTCTAAGTGATTTACTTCAGTGCACTTTATCCTTAATTATTACAATAAGATAATAATGATTCTTTATACTAATTTATAATGAATCAAGAAATAAAACTTTTTGTTATCTTAGAACTACTCAGTATCCCAAAGTCAGTTGTTATATCAGCCCAATCATTTTTAAGATTTGTTAAACTGTTCTGAATAGACCACACACTTGTACAATGTCAATAAAGGACTACTGGTAATCTACTTCCTCCTAAGATTGTCAGGTATATAGTTGTCTTTGCCGGGGATTCCCGTTCCGCCAGAGTCACCAAGCCACGGGTATCTGCAGAAGGAAAAAATAATTACATATTTACTAATGGCCCAAATGTTTATACTTCATTATTTCTTGATCTATTAATAAAGAGAATTAACAGCTGTAAATGTATGTACATACATGATATATACTGATAAAAAAATATATTGGTGCTTCTTTTTTTAAAACTTTTTTATTTAGAACGCTTTTACCAGTCTGTCTAGACTAAAAAGGTTGTGTGTCCTTATACAGAACCTTTTCCATTATCCAATCCAAACACACCCAATTTGGCTCTGACAACGTTATTATGGATTTTTTACATTCTATTTCTGAATCAAATGAAGCCATTCTGCCGCCATTTCCCAGCTCATACAATCTCAGGCGCCTACCAAAAATTCAACACAACGGTGTAGAAAAATCACAGCTCCCCTTTTTGCTCGATAGATGGAGCTGTGACACCGTGTTAGGAACTTTTAAATTTTAAAACTCCGCTAACAAAGTAAGCAAGCCCATCTTTGCGTGGTGTGTCGTAAAATGTAGTTACGTTGTATAATCATAGCTACGACCTTATTACTGCTGAAAATGTGTCAAAGGATTTCTGCCTTATTTTTTTCCTTTTGGCCCCCTTTAGTACGGGGGAGTTTTACTTGCAGTGAAATAAAAATTTTGCATATGCGAGCAGCTTTTTAACTTTCCTCAACAAACGTCATTTGTTTGGTGTTTTTTTATTGTTGACGTATTATCATCATCAACAGCCTATAAATGCCCACTGCTGAGCAAAGCTTCTTCTCACACGGAGAAGATTAGAGCACTAATCACCACGCTTGCTCAATGCGGGTTGGCGATTTCAAACTTATAATTAGAAATTATAAGTTCAGGTTTCCTCACGATGTTTTTCCTTCACCGTTTGTCAGTGGTGTCTAAATAATCTTAGAAAGTACATATAAATCGGAAAAAGTCACATTGGTACTTGCCGTTGGTAGGTTTCGAACCCGCACCCTCATGCATGAGAAGTGGGCGTCTTAAACCTCCGGGCCACCACGACAACATGTTTACGTATAGTACCTAATTATATCAAAAATCTAACTCCTTTAACTGAGAGCTTTCTAGAAGTATTTTAATACTTACTGGTTGGGGCAATCACTGCAGGTCTCCATGTACCTCGTGTCGGTGAAATTGGTATCAGCAGGTTTGAAGGATAGTGCACATTTGTTGGGCAGATTGCATGGAGCCGCCGGGTAGTCCTTGCGGTCACATCTCCAGGCTTCGTAATTGTTGAGTGATTTCGCTGATTTCGGGTCAGTCATCCAGGTCAGAGCTTGGGTGACAGTTACAAACCAAACGTCCTTCCTGTTAAACAGAAAATGACAATTGATGACATTTCGTTGATACTTTCATTATCCATAAGTATGTATAATGTAATATAAGGCTAACTGATAAACCTTAGATGTTACCACGGAATTACTTAGGAGTGTGGATGTTTTCTATAACTTGTACTTGATATGTAGGCGTCCAGTCATAACAAATAAGTTTATATTTAGCATCTTACAACATATTTTACATTATTATAATATTTATAACTGCAAAAGACTATATTGAGACATTTTCCACAAGGGCGCCCATTCGGCACATAACGTTACTTAATATTAATTTCACCCTTTAATTAAATACAGAAATATACAAAATATTATATCATTACATATTACGTAGAACTTGATATTCGAGAACGGTTATTACGAAAACATTTCCTCAAAAAGAATGTTAATGTTTTAATTTAAAATTACGAGCCTGTATCGCTCGCTCGGATCAAGTAATTTAATTTTAATATTCTCTTATATGTGATAAGTAAGTGTCAATAAGCAGATATATAGGATACATGCAAACCTGTATTTTTTGCCATCTCACTTTATGATATTTGCCTTACGTAATTAGTATTATATTTACTGAATGTTATTTATCCCTTCATTCCAACTTTTGTACACATTTTTAAAATTATTAGACAAATTGTTTGGTTAAAGCTGGTTTAATGTAAACCAGGTTTAACGTTACATTTTATTATTAAGATTCGTACTAAGAAATCAAGATGAAATCGTTTGAATCGCAAATATTTAATTGGAAACCGCGAATTCAAATGGCTGTACTTTATACTAACTAAATAAAATTAAGATTCCAAATGTTCGAAAAGAACTTTTGTAATACAAACGAGACAAGTTTGAATAAACTAAAACAATTTTTTGTTTAAAGTTATTTATGCTTCAACAACTCGGTGCCCTCTGAAGTACTCCACATTTCATTTGAAAAAAGGTTATAATATTTTTTAGTTTATCTTAATTTTAATGATAAAATGTGTGCCATCATCATGTGCCATAAATAATAAACGTTTAACACTTAAAAAAGACATAATCTAAAACATTTAATAGAATTTTATTCATGCTATAAATTCCAACATTTCGCGGTTATTAAAACTCAATGATGTGTTTATCACAACCAAAATATATCGCTCCATAAGTATATTCTTTATAGTCGCTCGAACTATAAAAAATTTAAATCAATACATAATAAAAATACACGCGTTTACCTTGATTAAACAACTCGATAACTTGAAAGTAAAATGAATACGAAAACAGGAAATTTTGTAGTAAAAAATGTATTAATCTTTTTTATTTTAATTGACCTTTCAAGCTTACAATTACTTCAAAATGGGCTTATTTCTGCTTGGAAACAAGGAACGGAAAATTTCTTATTGCTTTGAATATTTTTGTCACCTTATAAACTGTGTTTCATTATGGTAATATTGATGTAAACTTTTCGCGGTTTTGCTAATAAATAGCAACAAGCTCAGGTAATAAAAATAAACATAACACTTGAACTCTTTTAAGCATAGTTCCAACGACACACACTTGTAAATTAAAATTATTATGGTATGAAATAAACGAAAATAAATATTTTCTATCCTAAGCAAAAGCTTAGGCCATAGAAAATATCATTATCATCAATCCATGTTTATCTACGCTGGACCTTAGGCCTTCCCAGCAGCGAAATTTTAAAAGTATTTAAACTTGACTTACAGACTGGAGGCCCACTGTAAAAATTTGTGGAGACCTCGCTCTAGCTCCTTAATCTGGAACCAGTTCGTGTGGAACGGCATCATGTATGGAGCTCGGTTCTGCTCGTAATACCGACTGAAGTCTTCTTGCAGCCATTCTAACACCTGGAAGAAGTTGTAAGTCATTTTAAGATTCAATATAACATAATTTTTCGATTAGTCTCGTTCCATTACAGGCTAACTAAAAACCAATCATGTCCAAGCAATCAAAAAACATTCACGCAATTCTCTCTCACAATTTAAAAGTCCAACAACATTCTAACGTTTTAAAATCGAACTAAAAGCAAATTTTATTTACGAAAATAACAGTCTTTCATAAATTGGCAAACAAAAGAGCATGTACTTCAAACATACAGACAGAGAACCAACTGTTTAATCAACAAGTTGTTAAAGTTCAATGCTAATATTTGCAATCATATTTCAAGCCTAAAATTTTTAAGTACTCGTCTCAATAACTGCTCTCAAACCTTATGTAGTCGAAAAGTTCCACATTTTAGTATTGTATTGTACCTGTGTTGTAAATTCTAATCAAACCTGGGCTTAATAATTATTATTGTTATTACAATTGCGTACTTGCCAACTAGTCAAATTAAATACTTTTTTCGAACTGTCAAAAACAAAACTTTTCTTTATATTTTATTCTATTACATAATTTCTATGAATTTTATTACTGTGTATTGTGACGTCACGTTTTTTAATGTCAAACAGCACACTTATTTCTCAAAAATAAGTGTGCTAAAATTAAGTTGGTCATAAAATCAATGAATGAAAATGTGATTATTTTTTAATATTTTATTGTATGAACAGTCGAAATAATTTATTTTTGATTATGGAAAGTACCCAATTCTGACTAGATCTACTAGTAAAACTTTACATAAGTAGCACCAGAAATTCCAGCAACTTTATGACTTTATCATTAGCATCATTAAGCAAAAATAATGAATACTATTAAAACTTTAAGATAGTATCAGTACAAAACAACTGTACAGTTCATTACTATAGTAGTACCTACATATCTAGATAAACGAAAACATAACAAACAACAATAAGTTAAATTAAAACCAACTGAATAACTAGATAGCCGCGAACTACTAACTGATAAAACACCGGTGTACAAAGTTTTTATACCGGTTATACACGTTTTAGTTATAACGTTATTACGTATAGTTATAGAGATAAAATAACAAGTCGGGTGACCGCGTACATACGTGCGCACGTGAAATTATTCTCAACCGCTTCCGCTCCACTTCTCAACAACTATGTACAAATATTTACTTTTAAGTAAACCTATATACGTTAAATTTAGATACATAATATCATGGACAGTATGTTTATATTAAAATATATATACCTAACTTAAGAGCGAGTAAACACGTCGCTCAGAAATGACTGCAACTTTTTGGGTAATTCTTTGATCTTAGCTTTTGTAACTGTCAAGATAAGTATTTATTTTTACGAAATTTGAGGAAATTCGAGGACCTTTTAAAGTAGTTCTTATCTGTAAATTATTTGTTATTTAAGTATGTTAAATACATTATTTAACACCTGTTGCAATTACTTAATTATCGAGCTTTTACTTATACAAATATGTATAAACACAACAGTCAGTGCATAAAATTGTTCTTAATTTAATACAATATATCGGATCAAAGAGCGTAAAATCCTTTATTTACCTAATACGTAGGTACGAGTTAAAAGCAGTTTTCTGTTTTTGATCTCATAAAAGGTTATTGGGAGTCGGGGCGCAAATAAACGAAACTGCTCCCGAAATATTAGAATAAAGAACATACATATAATTATCGTGGAAATTTTTCATTAACTACCTCGTTGGCTGTGTGGTCGTAACCGCGACTACTGGATATTTGATATTCTCCTAACGTTTTTCTATTACCAAATTCTCAATAACATGCAGTAGCATGGAATCTGAAATTGTACCCAGTTAACTAAAAATCGCGGGTTACGCACGTTAATAGTGAGAAAAGCTCTACTAGTTTCTAGATTGTTAGTTAATTTAGTATGTCTCATGATATTTATTATAAAAACACTGTACCTACCCAGTGTTAATAACATGTTAGTCATAATAACACATAACATTATTCACAATTGGCAAAAGCTATAAAAATATGATGTTAAATAGGAATGACAAATAATTTATTTAAAACATACACAATATGGAAATCCAATACGAAAATGCAATGAGTACAATCTACATACGTAATTAGTCGCATCTATTAGAACATATTATCCACAAATTACTTGAAACATGTCCAATGTGGACGTGTAAATGTGTGTACACGTAAAATGCAAATGATATTAGCCATAAAAATGGAAATGGACGCAAACTATTCATAATAACTACCAAAAGTTTTACATAATTATGCAAATTTTTAATAGAGCTTATATCATATCGTACGATAATTATATAATACGAATCAGATAACATCTTTTGTATGAATAAGTAAAGTAAACGTACATTTGGGAGCATAGAAACGGAGCCTCTATAACTTAAAAAAGAATATTCCTTTCACAACAAAATCCTCAATATTAATTTTACCTTTTATACGACATACGTCAACAGCCTATAAATCGCCATTGCTGACCAAAGGCCTCTTCTTGCACGGAGAAGGTTTGAGCATTAGTCACCACGCTTCCTCAATGCGGGTTGGTGATTTCAAACTTATAGTTAGAAATTATAAACCCAGGTTGCCTCACGATATTTTTCTTCACCGTTTGTCAGTGGTGTCTAAATGGTCTTAAGTAAAAGTACGTATAAGTCGGAAAAAGTCACATCGGTACTTGCCGTTGGTAGGTTTCGAATTAATAAAATATTTGTCAAGAAATGAAAAATAAAATCGCTATTGGCTCCGTTTCTTTACTCCCAAGTATATAAAGAATGAAGATTTTTAAATAGCGGTCAAGTATTAGTGAAACGTTTGTATTATAATTGGGAATAGGTAACTACCTATTCCCAATTATACACACCTACCTATAAACATAACTTTTTTTATGGCACAAGCCGGTAATTGGGCCTCCGGTAACCTCACTCACACGACGAAACACAACGCAAGCGTTGCTTCACGTCGGTTTTCTGTGAGGCCGTGATATCAGCCTATTCGTGCCGAAGCATGGCTCTCCCACACTAGACTTCACACCTATTACCCGAATATATCCTTGACAATTTTTTATTTCTTATATTCACTTAGGCTCTTGATCTTACAACCTTAATTATATATTAAGCAAATTCTTAACGTTTCCGCTGTTGCGATATACGATATATTTTCCCTAGTAAGGGCGGGTATCGCAGTCAACTACAAGAATAGACTACCTACGGATAAGTGATAGTGATTCATTGATCATGAGCTAAATTTTATTTTAGAACATAATCAATGTGTATTTTTTTTCAAATTCCCCGTGCCTTGAATTACATTAATTAGTAGGTACAACGTCACAATTTTTATCTACGAATTTTAACAATAAGCTCGTTTATCACAAGGTTTAAAATAAACGTGGAAGTCATCACCCACGCTGTTCTCATAAACTCTTACATTAAGTTGATAATGTTTCATTCAGACAAGTAAACCAACAAACTGCCTGGCCAATGAGTTTCTAAAATTAATACTATAACAGATTTGTATAAAATAATATACAAAATTATCTTCCATATCATTGTAGTATCGAAGAAAGAGTTAGCATAAAAGTTTAATCAAAACATACATAACTATTGCTAATATTGTAACAAGGTCACATTTTTGTATCAGCGACACAAATAGCGATACACATCTCTTCATACAAGAACACGGTACCAACCTCATCGGAGTCGTGGTTATGTAGCACACACTGATCGAGATAGGGACAGTGTCCGCCCTCATACGTCTCTACGTAGTGAGCGTTGAATGGAACCTCCCACAAACCTGAAAAACAAACAACCATTTTATTAATAGTAATGCTTTTTATTAAAATTCAATATGTATATGATGTGTATTTCATGTCGAATCGTTAAATACAGCACAGTTCAAAAAATGTTTACAGAGGCAAGTAAACACCCAATATGTACTTTTATCCTCGTACATTCAAAGAAATACATTTTGGTGAAAATATCGTAATTCAATCTGTGAATGGCTCCGGTAAGCAGTAATTACTCTCTGAGAACATTGTTCCAACCACGTGAAGCAACTTGGTGTTCGTATAGGATGTGTGAGAGCACCTCGTTCTGTCTAACGCCATGTTGCACGCGATACTAAAACTTTGTAACAGGAACGCTGTACTGAATATAGGGTTTCACACAATGTAGGTGTTACACTATTATAAAACGTAGTTAGGGAACATATTTGCTTACATGTTCAATCATAATAAAGTTGCCATTTATGCCAGCTAGAAAACTGTGCAGGTTTTACCTGTACAGTCAGACTGTACATTTAAATCGTAAGGCAGTGTAGGCTGTGTAGGCAGTCTGTATGGAGCTACGATTTAACGGTGCAGATTTACCTGTGCAAATAAAAGTGCACAGTTTATGATAACAACTATCGACAGTGTCGTGATTAAAGTTTTAAAAATAAGTAAGGTGTAACTATGCACTATATCGTATATCTACATAGGAAATAGCCTCTTATGATCACATACGAAGCATCATCTGTGTTCAAACATCTGCTCACTGTGCAGGTTACCTAACAAATCTTTTCTACTTCTTCGCCAGTTTATCTAACTATCGAGGACGTAAGTTATGTTCACCCACCTGGGAACGACTTGGTCGGACAAGTGCCTGACTTGCACTCGTGTGCGATCTTATAGTCGAGTGTGTATGGCCACACGGGGATCGGCAGAGGAGGCACGCCCACCGAACTGTCGTAGATGTAGCCAAAATCCTCTAACACCTGTGAACAACGTGGATTACGTGTTAAAAAACGATTCGTAGAGTAAACGTCTTATCGTTCTTTTAGCTTTAGTAAACGATTCAATTGTGCAACTAGATTCTCTTACGGAATGTTTAAGTTTATGTCTACTATAATTTGAAAAATAAATCGTGTACTACTATGTTGTTCGGCTCCGAACTAAATACGTTTACATTCATCCATTTTTTTTTTATTGTACTCCCATCGGAATTTAATAGTGCATTCCAAACAGCATTTCACACAACAAATACCATACAAAGTGTACTTCAATCAGTTTTATTTAGATACGTTCGTCGATCGGTGCCTATCAAAACGTCGATACTCGGGCGTACCGGCTTGTTTGACAACTGACGTGCCTCCCCGATGACGACGCACTGCAAAAAAATTCTCTACGTATTTCACGTTATATTGGGAACGTGACGGCCGTAATTGTCAGGTAACGAATAGACGCAACGCAGAAATATTGACGCTGACTGTACCCACGGACGTACGCAATATATCGAATGACTGTCAAAATATTACCCTAATAAGCTACCTGATATTCGATGTGAGCCAAATTGGAGACAAAGTAATGTACGGAAAAAACGTTAGAAATAAGAATACTGAATAAAATATGACATGTGAAATATACGAGCTGATATATAATTTCGTTAAAAACCTTTGTGTTTTCTCGACTTGAATGTCACGTAATAAGATTGTGTTATTATTTCAAAGTATCTCTTGAATATCCTACACCGCCTACATTCTGGGAAAAAATCACCAACCGTCCTTGTTTATTCACAAGAGACGTTGCAATAGTTTTAAACGTTGACTCTTAACTTAGTAAAATTACTTATTGATGTTTGTGACTCACGTCACAAAGAGAATTTATTCAGTCTCATATTTTATTCTTTACCCAAAGGAATCGCCTACCTAGCCGAGGTAAAAAGCATCGTACATTTTCTCGGTGTAAACTTTCTAAAAAGCAGGTTGATCGCCAACTTTAAGTTCTATTGAAATGGAATTGAAAATCCTGCATACCTACATACATAACTGTTTACTGGTGCTCTTCTTTTATCTTTACAAGACCTTCCGAACTTAGATCTCTAGATCACCTACAAAATATACAAACAATGATCATGTTCTAGTTACCTATGCGATGATTTCGAACTACCCGCAGAACCATTAGTTTCCTCTTTATCATGTCACCATTCTACCTGGATTCATGTTGTCCATATCTCTTAAAAATTCGACCATATTTTCCAAGGCCACATTTTACCCAAATGCCAAGCACAGCCTCAATACTTTTCTCATGACATTGGTACGAAATTCCTTTGCACTACATTCCCATAAACTTGACAAATAAAAATACGTTCCCACACAACGTCTCGGTCACCGGCAATACTATTAAAAAGTTACACTATAAGGTCCCCTTTTGAATAGGCACATTTTTATTAAAATTGCTACAAAATAGTTTAAGAAATACGTACCTTGAAGTGTGGTAGTTGAAATTGAACGTTTTGAAATATGACAATGGGGTCAATTGCAGTTTTACCATACCATACCACATAGGACTCATTACGAATAACGAAAAATGGTTGTCAACACCATGCGGTATTATATGCTATAGAATTAAACCTCTACACAATCCCCTGTTAAATAAAATAAGAAAAATAATATGATTAGGTACCTTAAACTGTGTATTTCTGCCAGGCTTGAGGAAGGGTGCTCTGGTGCCGACGATTTCTGATCGCGATACATTGGCAAACTTGCCAAGAATTTCGCGCATGCCAATCATCTCACCGGCCCATTCTTCGTAGCCTTTGTCTTGAAGACCTTGCTGCTGCGATACCGTGCCCGTCGCTATCTGAGAATTACACAAGAATTGTTTTTTACATTTCAGTTCCGTCGATACTAGAAAATGTATCTGCTTATTAGAAATCAGTTGCTTGGTCGGGATAGTTGATAGTTCAACCAATTGGCAAGGTCTTGTCCAATTTTAAACGTATTTACCCAATAGGAAAAATAGTAAACCAATCCAAATATGATGTTTTAATGTTTATTTTATGTATTAGTAAATTAAATTTACCTCATGACCATCATGTGCAAGGGCTTGGACTTGCACGTAGTTACTGAAAATGAAAAAGCAATATTTAAAATTTTTACTTACTTATTTTTACTTTGCATATTATTGAGCATTAATAAACAGGTTATATACTAGCATAATACCTACAACATTATGAAAATAACAATTCTGGAAAGCCGTGAAAGTTAGATACTAAAAGAAAACATTAGCATAATTCATAAACAATGCAAATTGATATGTAAATAAACTACAAAAAATTCCAATCACTAATGGATTATACATAGAAATGGAGCTATGGATAGCTGAAACCACTGCCGGTCATCAAAAGCGGCTGAATAATAGTCACATTGTAATTAACGTGAAACTTGTATAAGTAATTACCAAACTATCGTTCAAATTAATCACAGAAACTTGGTAAATTATTTATCACTAATTAATTAAGACGTACCTAGATATTAATTCCATTCGTGACTTCGTAACTTGTATTCCTAACTTCATTACACAGATGGTAATTATTAGAAAAATGTAACGCAAAAATAATGTCTAAAATGTTCTTTTACGTTGTAATAATATTAATTAATTAGGTACTTTTTTCTAATTAAAGACGTCGTAAAGCTTAAATGTAAATTGTTACGTAATTAGTTATTTTAAAATGACCAGACGGTCTGACACGAAATGGGATTCTCATTAGTACCATGGAGACTGGCACCTATATTTACACGCTATAATTATGCCTGGAACTCAGAATCATCTGCTATTGGAAAAAAATATATATTATTAAGGTATGTATGTAAATTAACCTCTACTCATTACTTTGCGTATATAATTACAGTTTTACCACTAAACACTTATTTTCTTCTCGGATTACTTACCTCCGCGTGTTATATTATAACATCGCAAACGTAAACAATAACACATTTAGTAATTACCTGTACTCGTGTGACAGGAAGAAAGTGCCTCTAATGGGACAGCCATTAGGGTTCTTGATTTTTCCATTGAACACTTTCTTGTACAGTTCGAAGTTGTTCAAGTTAACAGCGCCGTCGAATGTCAGCATTATCATTTGGGGCGTCTGCAACCGAATTGAACTTTTATGTCTTATATACTTTGGATACAATTTTACATGTCAACTTTACAATCATTATTTATGAAAATTATAATACAAAATGTTAATATTGTAATACAATATTTATTTGTGTATCTGTTTTTTATCGTTTCCTAATATTTGAAATTAACTTTCGGTGGTTTTAAATATGGCATAAGTAAACAACTAGTAGATATTTTGTAAACTGAATACTTTGTAAAAAATATTTGGGTACTAGACGATCTTGGAGTTTACTTACCACCTTTTTTACTTTATTTGGTTTTCCGAACCATTAGATTCAGTAAGTAATATAGTAAAGTAAGGACGACTACTTATTGAATTTGGCCAAGCTACGTTAAATTTTCTCAGGTAGTAGAGAGACGGGCGAGACATTTTATTAGGTATCTTTTTTCATACCAAACCCCTGTTGTTTTCGCAGAACATAACACTTTTTTCTCTAAACATACGGTTTCTACGAAACGTTAAACTCTTAAAAGATTGGCCATGACCAAAGCAACGTGTTTACATATGCACACGTAACTCCGATTCAGTCATTTAGTATGCACGACTTGACTTTTGCATGCGTAAGTATTTTTTTATTCCAATCGCAGATTACCAAATTGTAGACGTGTTAGACACGATCTTTTTATAGAATGTTCAATGCACAAATTAATGTTACGGTACTTACTTATATATTATACCAAACGATTCTACAAACAAATGTTTTTAATATTAAATTCAAATAGTTTCTCGCAAACATTAATTAAAATTTGTGTATTTAGGTACCTACGATTTTATAATTTTGAATATTTCCAAGGTTGATTTTGTGAATGGTATGCTAATTTTGTGTAAATAATATCGACCGATTTCCAGTTATACCTGTTTAACATAAAGTTCATAATCGTAATCAATTTTGGTTTATTTAGAACTGTTCATAAACAGGAGTAAACCAGGAAATCACATGATGTTCATTCATAATTAAAAGCAATTGTGAATGTTTGTTTTTCAATAAATAAACATGTTCATTTGTTCGTCTATTTGTTGGTTTTAAGCACTATAATAAATGTCAATAAATCAATTATTTTTGTATCAGAAATGTCGAAAACAATTAGGTAATTTTGTACGAGATAACCATACCCCACGGTCGCTGAAAAAAACGCGGACGCAATGTCACTTAGAAATTATTGAAGTACCATAATGTCAGTGGTGTATTTATGTGTGCGTGTACTTGCTATACCGTAATGTGTGAGAAGTACTGTAATGACGGGCCATGTCACGCGGCGACAGAAGTCCTTCGTGTCAATGAGTGTGTATTCTGCGTGTAAGTCTGTAGTAGCCAGGTGCCACAGTCGATGTTTCAAGAGACTATATCCGCCTTTTTTAAGTATCATAGAGTTTACCTAATAAGAAACTAAAAAAAGTTTTACTTAATATCAAATTTATTATTATGTTTTCGGCTTGCTCACGTAATTATTGGACGAGGAACTCGACTAGTTTAGTTACTACTGGCAGCAGTAGCAGCGCGACAGTCGCCGCGTCGCGGGTCGCAAAATGCTGGTCATGAATATGAGCCCCTAATATGGCTTGAAACTAGTCGAGTTCAAATAATTACGTGAGTAAGCCGAAAACATAATAATATTAAATTAACGAGAGATTCAATATTTTTACATACCTATTTGTAACAGAAATTCCTGTTATCAATATTAAATTAATAGATTTAATCACTTACGTCTTCTGGATCGAGACCTCCAGGTATGAGTGTGCCATCTTTGGAACAGAAGCAGTAAGGCAACTGGCATTCCGCAGGATCACACTTGGTAGCTAGATCCAAAGGTGCTTCAGTAATTGGTGCAGGGGCTAGAAGAAAAATCAGGTAAATTTTGAAACTTATTACATAGGTTATTGAGATTATTTTCTTTCAAGCTATTATTAATGGTACTCAGTAATAATTTGGGTCCATTATAAATAGGTGCTAGATACAACGTGATATCATCAATTGCAGAAAACATTGAAAAACCTAAATGTTACAAGGCTGAATATAATTCAAGGTTTGAGGATAAAATTCAATGGACGTGCAAAGTCACGCTTAATCTGTAAGCTTCTTTGCTAATTAATTGACTTACACTACACTACACTTACACACGGTTTAACATAACATAACATCACGCCTTTATCCCGGAAGGGGTAGGCAAAGGTGCACATTACGGCACTTAATACCATTGTACAAAGTAACAACCACTTTACACTATTTATATTATGAGTCCCGTATAATAGGGGGTGAGCCTATTACCATTTATCGGGCACAATTCCAGACTCTGTGCTACTTCTGAGACCATTTGGCCGGCAGTCGCACTTGCAGCCACTCGGGCAACAAGGCAGTCACGGTTAACGTATTATAAATTATTCAACAAAAAAATATAGCTTTTTATAGAGGACAGATACACAAATCTTCCTATTTCTGAACAATACTGAGTTGTCTCTCGATACTCAGTCATAAACTAATCACGCAGACATTGAAACAAAATTAAAACTTATTGTTTTATAGTTTTGTTCATTAATTATTAAAAAGATGTCAAATGTAGAATGCAATATTACAATACAAATTATTTTAATATGTACAAACTGCCCGTCAAACTTCAAAACATTTCAATTTATTACCAAACCTCGAAATTAATTGAAAACTTGTCCAAAATGTTGTAATATTATAAATACCTACTTGTGGCGATGGGGCCGCATCTGGCTTCAGCTTTGAATGTACAGTACTTGCTAATATCATCGAAGTATAGCCCAGAGGGACATCTGTTCAAGTACGGATAGCCATCCACACACTGAAAGGAAAATAGAGAAGTTCATAAATTGTGTTAAAAGTCAACTAAAGTTAATCTCTTTAAAATATCCAGTGATCTTCTTTCTGCAGTCGTTTTTCCTACTCAGTAATAGGTACTAGGTCTCAACAATATAAGCTCTCAAGGAAATGCTATCATTAATTAGTTGTTATTCGTTATTGTTTTGTATGCTTTTCGGCGTAACATAGGTTAGACCAACTACTCAAGTATTACTACAAGTACTACGAGTATTTATAAGATAAATGTACCCTGTGTTCACAAATATAAATGAATTTTAAATTTTGAACAAGGAATCTTCCAATTTATCATTACACCATCCTAAGCAATTTCCTTTATGTACTTACAGCTGAAATTATCAAAACCACTAGGTTCCTACATACATGTATAATTAAAAAATAAAATGTTTGTGTCTACGCTTTCTACAATGTGCGCGATATACTAGTTGACAGATACACGAACACCTTATATGGAAAATGGAATCCGAAAAAAGTCTTCGCAAGAGGAAGTCGCAAAAATAAAAGTACCTAAAAATGAAAATGCGAAGCTTATTCGATCAGGTTAGCAAACATTTCTTGGAACCAATCTACCCAAAAACGAAGCTTGACACGTCTTTTAGGTACGTACTTACATATGTACTTGGAAATGAACGAAATAATATGTTTCGACGTATCAACTTCAATTTTCCTCCCAAATGTTACTTTCAAGTGTATTCATGTATAAAAATATGTTTGTTTCAGACATTTTCAACTCTGAAATGAGACTTGTTTATTTGTTGTCACTCAAAAGCAAAACTTTTGAGATATTATTAACAAACCTATAAAGTAAATCTATAAAGGTTACAAACAAAACATAAACTTATTATTATGTGGAACTGAGTAGAATGTTCAGACTCAAAATACTTTGGTGTGTAATTCTTGATAAGTCTCTTTATTACTGTTTCCTTTTCACTTTCATTTTAACGAACGTCCTAAAGGTAATGTAATTACATGACAGTTTATACCTATGTAGGTATGTCTAATTCATTAATTGTTTGCCTAAACCAATTCAATACTGTTTCGATGGAGTCATTTTCAAAGGTTATATACCTTTGAAAATCTCATCAATACCTTATTCACTTACTTTATTATTGTTTGTAAAGGAGGAACCTAAGTTAGGGATTTACAATTGTAAATTCATCGCATCTCATGTCTTTATATGCCACTTCAATAAATATAACTTCAGCAGGTAAAACAAAAGAGACACTACTATAACTAGACGTAACATAGTTACGGTTATGGGCGGCCATTTTTATTTTTGAATCCGTCCAATTTCGCGGACGTAACATAAACTCAAGTGTAATCCCAGGGGGGTTAGTCACGCGGGGTTACGTTATTACATACAACGGCATACGAAAAAAGGAATCCACCGTTTTATGCGAAAAATGTTCGGTGTTTGTCCATAAAAATATGAATGTAGCGGTTGTGCCTACCCCTAGTGTATGCTTCGCAGGATAAGAGAATGGCAATAAGCGCTTCGGGTTTCCACCTCTGTATTATTAGATGTTGATGATCAAGAGGCCCGTTTTTCCCCAAGATCGTATCGGAATCTAAATCGGAAAGTCTAAAAGACTAGTTTTGAATATCACAAATGCCTTGTAGGTATCCTTTGCAAAAAGTATGTAACTACCTGCTAACACCCCAATTCTCCTTAGCTTAAACCTGTTACGTAGAGGATAAAATTACCATAAAAAGAATACTGTCGTTTTTTATTAATTTCGTTGACCCATGAGGTCTCAGATTCACTGAACTTGAAGACGATCAAGATCAAGGCCGTAGTTTATACCGAATACACCGACTTTATTACATTTATTGCGTTTTAAAAGCTCTTAAATGTAATCGACACAAAAAAAAACGATTACAGCTTCATTTTTACCCAAAAAATATCTCGATACAGGCATAATTTTTATGCACGTTAAAAGAGAAATACCGTTGTCCATATTATTGAAAATGGCAGTGACATTTTTGCTGTGTCACATCAAAGAAATAGACCCAGTAAATATACGTATTAGTACTGTGTGTAGTCGAAGTCACACTCGTTCGTCACAACCGCAAGCCATCGCGCCTCCGTCGACTTAACATTCAACAGACATAGGTAATAAAGACGCGTGAATAACAAAAACCTCGCTGTGCTCCGGTCACTAATACAAAAATACCTCGAATACCGATATTCTCGACAAATACTTACACCGCATACGAAAAACTAGAACCCAATCATTTTTAACGTTCCAATTCCGAGAAAAACAATTTCGAATTAAACCATGAGCTAAACTCTTGTTGCCCATTACTGGTTGTGTCGAAACCGGTCGATCAAGATTCGAAAATGTCAATATCTGCCAAAATAAATACTATAGTTCCGTAATAAAACCACGTACAAACTATTAATAACTATTGTATATCTAATAATCCGATTGTATAATAAAAATATGTGATGGCTCTGGCAATTATTACTGATCGCAATTTTGTTCCGCTAATAAAAGATTCCACTGATTGATTGCCGTAGTATATCTGAGATATTTAGCCAATTACTTTGATGGGTTTATAGGCATGTGATAAATATACATAGTCATATAATCAACAAGATGGTTGTATGCAACTTAATTGATGTTGTAAAAGTACCTATGTATACGTAATGCCAACATATGTATCTACATGGATGGAGTATTGTATCTGGCAGTATTTAATTGCTTGCATATTTTCCCTTAATTTATGAACATCGAAAAGATATTAGGACTGTAACATTCGAATTATATACCCAAACCAATAATAACAAGGTAAGTATGAGTTGTTGGTTACGTGATCAAAACTTTAGTCGTTAAGGCTAATTCAATTCTTGTTATGTATTGTGTGTGACTTATGTCCAAATACTCAAACGCTACTCAATTCTAAGTCACTACAAATTCCTTGTAAAATGTCAGAGATGGCACTATAGATTTTAAGTACAACTTAAAATTGAGTAGCCTTTCAGTATTCGGGCGTTTCGAAAATAGACATAGTGAGCAATTGAGCATCCATAAAAATGACATTATTTTTATTAAAATTCTTATTTTAAAGGTTGGTGGGGCAAAGTATACAGTGAATCTTCCTTACATAATATTTATATAGGAAGCCGTTTTATAGAAAGATATAAAGGGTATATTTAAACATTGCCGGGTACGCGGAAGTTCAGCCAGGTCAATTATACAATTATTGTTTATTACAACGTTTAGAGTTAAGTGTAGTCGATGATTTTCCTTCTACATTCATACTTTTAATTGTTACTTATTACCTATTGGTTTTTGGGACACATTTAAGTTTCCCAAAATAGAATTTAGTATCATACTGTTTGTGTGTAATAATTCTCATAAAAACTTTCAGATATTTATTTTTAAAAATAGATGCTGGTATTAAACCTCCACTTACTTGGTAGAACCGCCTACACGTGGCAGGGTCAGCAAAATTTCCATTACCCTGTGTACCTTCAGGACACACGAAGTCCTCATGTTTATCTTTTTGCTGGTAGCTTCCTGTAAATCAACAAAACAGTTTCAAAATCTAAAATAAGACAATTCTTTTAACGTTGTGTCACCTTGTCCTAGGTATTTAAAACTTCGTCCTGTACAAATACGAGGGAGCTACAAGCTTTAGTGCAGACAGAAGACTACAAAGTCTTTACTTTATTAAGGGAAAACCTGAGAACAGTTTCTATTTGATTTTCTCAGTGGAATTTCTCTTAAATACATAACGACGCATTTCTTAACAGTCGGATGGGCTTAATGTCGCTTCACGTAATTTCACAATTTTAATCGTTATTAGTAAATTAATGTAACAGCAATCATCTACCTAGTGTAAAGTTACGATATGTTATACTATGAAACACTTTCAACACTAATTTGCTATTATTATATTCAAAGGTGAAAGTATGTTACGCAATTGTATATAGTCTCCCGAAATGATCGAACACTACATAGGGAAGTCACGATTAAATATCATTAATTTCATACAACTTCCTTATCAAACTAATTATCGAATTCTTTGGCCAAATAAAGAATTAATAAGTCACTTAAAATGCAAAACGTATTACGTTATTAAATGAATCGATAATACATAATCGATTTTCAAGGATTTGTCTAATTCGTAGTGTAGTCTGTGCGGTTGGCGTAAATAATTATTTTACTTCTATTTTTAAATACAATAAATATCAAGACCACTGAAAGAATTAAATTTCCCTCTGTTAAAAAATGGATGAAACGCGTCGCAGTTACCTAATGAAAAATGTTTTATGAACTTCACTATTACACTACTAGGTGCCTTGATAAAATTCTTTTAAAAGATTTTAACCAAATACAAATGTAATCACGTCGGTGGACTTTCGTTGAATATAAGAGCTATTAGAAAAGACTGACGCTAAGCTGTCTAGACATCTTGCCAAATTACGACCAGTTAGACTTCTAACGCTCAGTGTCTCACGTCTCACTTTAAAATGCCATAGGGACTAGAAAAAAAAGAAAATGACTAACATTATTTTGATTCTCACAATCCATCATCCATGTCATATAATAAAAAATGTGTTTCTTAAAAAACATTTACAAGGTCTTAGTGTGTCTTCAAAATGAATCTTAACAGACTTCATCTCATTTGAGTTGTCTTCTAAATAAGTTTAGAACAATCTACCCCGAAGGTAATTTGTGTTTAATTAATTTTTAAGTAGAAAACCTCAACGACAGACATCAAAACAAAAAGATAATTAGAAGGCAGACCTCAATTTATGCATACCAGCATTTTTCTAACAAAACAATCAGCCGTAGGCACAATAGGTCTGAGAGTTTTTGGTAGCTCAATGTTTCCTACTCATTCAATTGTAGATTAATCTTTAAATGCTTATCTCAGTTTGCAAGCAGACAGACAAACCACATCGCATTCCTAATTCATTATTTATAAGGTAACTGATTACAAAATTTAGTGGGCCTTTGGAGGTTTGTGAATTGATTATGTGTCTGTTTAACGTGCCAATAAATTGTTTCATTCTGAACTACAGACGTAGTTTTGAAATATTGTAAATTACAAACAAATATGCATTGAAGTTTCTTCACATTCACTTCACGTAACGCCTGAATTCAAAGAAATATTTCCACAGAACATGTTTACAGTCATAGACTAGCTACACTTAGGTACTGGTTTGTTCTTTTGGTTTGTTTGACAGTTGTTAATTACTTTTGTTGTACACTGTACCAGGGCTCTGTCCCGGAGAGTTAGACGCGCTTTACTCCCGTGAGCTTTGAATTTACGAAATTCGTTTTGGTAAACCTAAACACTTGGAGCAGGACTTCTAAATTACAGGTGCAGACGTCTCAGCGTGTATTTTATTAGATCTGAAGTTAATTTAAAAGTTCTCTCTGTTTCAGACTTGTCAAGATTTATCTGTCTAACTTCTTTCGGGTCACGTAATTAAGTACAGAGCAAATGAGAATCAAAAGACTTTAGAGACGAGAAATCAGTGAGACATTGCCGCTGTCGGCCATAAATTTCCGGACTGAGCCTTGTGAGATAAGTAGACGTAAAATCAGGTAACTGCATTGAGTACCGACGTAAGTCGTAAGTGTCAATATCCTCGATCGCAACCGGTCACAGGCCTCAATGTCAAGTGAAAGAAAGGACGTGCCAGACGAATTACAATTAGGCACATTATTCAGCCACATCTGACGCTTTCTAAATATAACATATCATTACTAATGTAATGCAAAACGCTTCTACAAACATTTTATCACACGCTTTCACATTCGACGTTATTTTATGAAATAGTAAAAATTCTAGCTTAACACGGTGAATAGCTTTCACTGAGTATCATTTCGTTGTAACAGTTACGTTAACGAGTAACGAATTGATCGCCGGCCAGCTTGCATAAGATTACGAATTACGCATTGGTTGTTTTTTTAAATCGTTATTTATATGTGGAAAACCGTCGTAATGTGGTGATTAATCACTAAACAGAACATATAATAATCACAAAATTAAATCAAATAATTACTAGAGTAATTAGAACTAACCATTGATTAAAATAGCACAAATAAGTAATATTCGCATATAAGGTAACCCGGCCATGGCGTTTGCGGTCCGCACACTGTTCACTGCGTATAGTATCGACATGACGCCTTTCACCCGCGCGCGCGCACTGCGCCGAGCAGCCGAGCTCGCGCCTCACGCTGCCATCACCAGCCGACCTCCGCGGGCGGCTTTCTCCTCAAACCCCCTGACATTCGTCAAATAAAGGTAGGTGCTGCTTACGTGCGCATTCGTGTCAAATTAGGTTCCGTGTGCAGTCAATGATATTGACAATATATCGGTTTTAAATAAATGGAAAGGTGCTGATGCAATAGGCGAAGATGACCCTTACATAGAAATATGCACTTACTACCCACGTTCTATGCATAAACCACGCACAAAGTCTCGACATCCTGCTGATAAGAACTGCTTTTACACTATCAATTATTGTACTTCACTAAAGAGAAGAGCGAAGAAAAGAGAACTAAAGAACTAAAGAAAAGAGATCATCGAAGTAGAATCTGCTCTTCTCTGTACACAGTGAACAAATCTATAACAAGTTAAACAGCCGTGTGGTGGACAGAGACTGTTGAAGTTGTTGGGGTACCAACTACCAACGCCGTATGCAAATCATTAGTCAGTAGATTGAGGCAATTAAACAAATATCTAGGAGTTGGTATTATGCAAACCTGATGCAAGCCTTGCTACTGCATTTTTACTGATAGATAATTCTAGAGCTTTTATTTTATGTGTTTAGACCTCATTTCTGCACTGCTATTGGTTTGAAATACGGGATTTAAAATAGATTGGTCGTTGATTTCTATTACAGGTTACAGGAACCTAAATCGTTGGGTTTAGGTTCACTTCCTATAGTTTCGTTGACTCAGCAGTGGATGAAACTACTATGTGCTTAGTGCTGACCACGTATTTTAGCGTTCTAATTAGGCATGTTGACATTGCAACGTGAACTTGAAGTAATCCTCGTAAACCATTTGAAATAGTTAGCGGTTTTTGATTCATAGAAATGTATGTGAGTGTGAAGTGGTGGTATTTTGCAATTGAATTTTGAAGCAGTTAACTTCAACGAACGATTGAGCTGAAATTTTGTACACGTTTAGTCTACTTGACTATTAATGTTTAGCTAGAGCTAAAAGCTAAGTTTTTATTTAAAGCTGGTTATCATTTTTACTCTATTGCGTGATGCAAGAGAGGGCACTTAGATAGTTTTAAAAAGGTTATTGGATACATACCTATGTAAGTACACTGCAACGTGTTATAGGTATACCCGGTCAATTGACATGTTATTTCTACTGGGTATTATTCTTGTAGTGTCAAAGTCTCAGTTCAGTCTCAAGTCACATCTTAAAAAATCCCTTGTAACGTTGCATAGCAGCTGATCACCCAACCACTAGCCGTGCCTTAACCGCGCTGCGTTATCACATTTTTAACTCATGCTTTATTTAAAACATGGACTAATAAACTGAAGACTAAAGCAAGTTTAAGTTCCAGTTTAAGCCTAAATATTTTTTACACCCTAAGTACCGATCTACATGCATCTATTTAATCCTTATACATCGTGTAGGGACACGATGCATAGGTAGCAGTACATCCCTATGTACTGCTACCTATGCAAGCAACTACACTAGCTATGTGAGCTAGGTACTCAGATTTTGAAACATGGATGCCATAATTGGACATTGTCGCACGCGGAGAAGCCTGCTAGCTATAAGTACATAGCCGGGTAATTTACTTACGCTTACGTATTAGAGGGATAGTTGATAACACGGTAAGGACGTTTATTTCTTGTTGTAGACAACTACGTAGGTACCCAAACATGCAGACATACAAAAGCCAATACAAAAGCCTCATTGATCGAGTGGTCGCAACTTGTAAAAGCGAATCCCTGGGCCTGGCAAAATATTGCAGTACCCGACCATAATGTACCAAATATTGCACATCGACCTTTGGAATGAGATAATCGTCCAAGTTACCGCGTATAAGTACAGGTCATCATTATAAGTCACCACATCTAGTCATCGTAATCGCAATAATGTAATGATCGTAACAATTACGTACCTACCTAAGTATCTTACAAAAATATCAATTTCCAAAATCCGATCAGCAATATTAATCACCGAGTAACGTATTACTCGTATAACCTATTCCGTATAATAGGTACCTAATGATAATACATGATATCGAGCATAAATTTCCTTGGGATTTTTACATCGTTGCACTTACATGTGCACTTCATGATACCTGCCAACCTCTTCAAGGATTAAAAGTCCTAAATGATCATATTACTGTTCATTTATATTTCAATTGAGTGATTCTAATTTGTATTCAACAAAACAGTTCAAATATTTATTTATTTTTCAAGCAAAAAGTATTTCGTCAGCCCATAAAAGTCTTTGGTAAAACTTGCTGGCTATTATTTCAATAAAAAATGGAAGGATAGCTATAAAATCAAAAAAAAAATCAAAAACTTTTTATTTTTTACTGGAAGTTAATGGTTTCCGATGTAATATAACTTCTTAATTGCCATTACTTTTTTATTTAAATACTTTTTCATTCTGACAATGTATCCGAAATATTTCTGAACGATGTCTTTGCGGCCGACGTGTCGCTGTTTCAAACGTCAAATTTGACATTTGAAGAAATACAACTCCCGAAGAAAATAAATGGAATTAAACGTTTAATAATTAGTGTTTTAAACCTAAATTGCCATTGAATGAAAGGGATATTTGTTTAGCCTAACAAAATGAGTACTTTACGTGAGCGACAACTGAGTGCGTATTGTGTTTAAGTACCAATTGAAGATTACACGTAGTGGATTATGGATTATTTATTTGTGTTATAATTTTGCAGATGCTTTGAAGCAAATGTTGAATTTGAATCAGCCTTTGACTAAGAGCGTGGCATGTGAACCTACATGGAAAGTGTTGATCTACGATAGAGTGGGCCAAGACGTGATATCTCCATTGATATCTGTCAAGGAACTTCGAGAACTCGGCGTGACTCTGCATGTGTGAGTAACCATTGAATTATGTGCCTTGGAACCTTATGTACTACCTAGTACTTTGATCTGCGTTGCCAGCACTCAGTCAGTGGGTCGTCTTAGGGAAGATCTTCCACAGAACAGAATTAGGTAGTTACTTGTGAAACGAAATTGACTCTGCTGTCACAATCACTTTCTATCTGTAACTATAAATGAATTAGCCCACAGAATGAAACTAAATTGACTTATATAATTATTTAAAAGTGATTGTTAAGTAGGTAGTTTTAATAATATTATTTTCAATACAATGAAACATAAGGGTAACTAAATATCATTCATAATATCAACAGTAATGAGAATGTTCCAGTATAGTCAATCATAAACATTAACAGTGGTTGAATAATTTAGTTGTATGTTATTGTAACCAATTGCAAAACCATTTCATGGTCTCCATTCTTATTAGAAGTCAATACAATATACACAAATAGAAATAGTGTGTAATTTATTTGTCTTGCTCTCATATTGTCAGTCTAATCTTAATTCAGCCATTTCTATAGTATATATATTCTTCATTAATAGTAAAAAATAACTTCTAAGCTAGAAAGTATATCAAAACAATGTTTTAGAAGAAGGGCAGGTATGTATGTAACTTTCACCAGCTATATTATTCTTATTGGATTGTAATAGAAGGTCCAATCTTTACATACATCAAGAACTATTTTATAACAGCTGCAACTGTGAATTCTTTTTTCAACAACTAATGTAGTTCCATAAAAATGTATTACAGATCATTAAAAATATTGTGATAAAAATCTTGATAAATAGTTATCAATAAACAGTTTAATAACATTGATTGTTATCTAGGAATTGTCTTATAAAACATTTTATTTATTTATGATTTACCAACATTTGTTTACACCAATACAATTGTCGAAATACAAATGTGAGTTTTTTACAGTAAGTGTAACAAATACTTATAGCATTTTCAATATTATTATAAATGAAATTTAAGTGAAATAAACAATTATTATTCTGAAGTGTGACTGCCGGCAAGGGATTTTGGATTTGATTCCCACATAGGGCAAAGTATTATTGAGTTTTTTTTTAAAGCCTCGGTATCATCACAGTGTCTGTAATTGTGTCTGATATATGGCAATAGGTTCACCCCTATTCCAGTGAACTCAAAACATATAGTTATAAGTGGGTGGTACATAGTGATAAGTAGGTGTTACATAGTGCAGTGGCATTATGTGCCGTAATGTGCACCTCTGCCTAACTCTTTAAGGATAAAAAGGCGTGATGTTATAATGTTATAATAATCCTCCTAAAAATATAAATTCCAGACAACTCCACTCCGATCGTGACCCCATACCAGAGGTTCCCGCAGTATATTTCTGTGCACCAACCGAAGAGAACCTCGGTCGTATATGCCAAGACTTAGACAATGGAGTCTATGACCAATACCATTTGAACTTTATCTCACCAATAACAAGGCAGAAACTTGAAGACCTGGCAGCTTCAGCGATTCAGTCAAATTCTGCAGTAAATATTCATAAAGTGTATGATCAGTACCTGAACTTCATTTGTCTGGAAGATGATCTTTTTATTATGAAACATCAGCAGTCTGATTCTTTATCTTACTATGGTAAGTCTACTTTACGTTAAAGATAGTGGTATTCTGCTTAGATTAAAGTTCAAATTGCTATGAAATAAAATAGGAGTTTGAAAAAAAAATTAATAGAGCCGATTCATCAACGACTTTTAACACAGATTCGCCTATAAATGTTATAAAAATTATTGTTGTCTTGTTGGGAAATCTATACACAGTAACAATGGTTGTACAATTGAATAACTTGTATCTCAAACTATTTAATAATCTTCTACATAATCATAAAATTGTGTATCATCTATAATGTACTTTTCACCCTATAATAGGGTAGACGACTAATTTTTATTTTAATGTCCGTCTGGTAGATTATTTAAAAACATTAGACACGTATTTTTTATTTTCTCGCAGAAACGAATAGTTTCGAAGATATATTGATTTGAAATGTCGCGTGGCGTCACTTCTCAGTACATTTTATACTAAGAAATGACGTTTTAGCCCCCACTCCTAAACTTTTATTCCTTTTATCTAAGTATTGTTTTATTATACGACAAAATAAAAAAATACGTGTCTAATATTTTTTCATTACCTAACTTACGGACTAATTATATTTTTAATTTTCATACCCTGTCATCATCCCCATTAAATATAAATAAATTATTCTTTCAGCCATCAACAGAGGTGACACCAAGGACACAGAAATGGAAGCTATTATGGACAATATAGTCGAAAGTTTATTCTCAGTATTTGTGACATTAGGTATGTACTACGTTATTACAACTATAATTCATTAATCAATATACAAATACAATTGTAATTAAGAAAATAGTTCAGTATGTATAATGTATATTACGTTGCATAAATTAGGTGTACATTTGCATATTGTTGTCATTATTGTAATTGACAATTTCTACAAATTTAACGCATATATTATTTGTTTAAAGGTAACGTTCCCATAATTCGAAGTAGTAAAGGTAATGCCGCGGAAATGGTGGCGAAAAAGCTCGATAAGAAACTGCGTGAAAATCTATGGGACGCAAGAAATAATTTGTTCCATGGTAACACTGGTCAAACTGGTTCCTTCAGTTTCACTCGACCGATGTTGATATTATTGGATAGAAACATTGATATGGCAACACCTTTACATCACACTTGGACATACCAGGCTTTGGCGCATGATGTGTTGGATCTTTCTTTGAACAGGTATATTTTTTAATTATTACTTAACATAAATTCATTTCTTGGGTCACACAAAGGGTTGGGTAGAGGTCCCTCTGTTTAATGTAATCATCCCTTTTTCTCAGCTATGACTTACATATTAGAGGACGAATCTTTTACTAAACTGTCAAAAATCAATAATTGAAATAATTGAATAGATAGACCTTTAATCCTAACAGTCATTCGATACTCGGAATACTAAAAATATATTTTTACTTTCCTCAGAGCAGTGGTACCTGAAAACCAAATGCCTACGGTGCAGGATCAGAAATCGAAGACGCGAGTATGTGACCTGGACTCCAAAGATCCGTTGTGGTCTGAACATAAAGGCAGCCCTTTCCCAACCGTCGCCGAAGCTATACAAGAAGATCTTGATAAATATAGGTACGTAGTTATATTTGGTAACATAACAACATAACATAACATCACACCTTTTATCCCCGAAGGGGTAGGCAGAAGTGCACATTATACCACTGTACAATGTAACACCCACTTTTCACTATTTATCTTATGAGTCAGATGTAATAGGGGCTAAGCCTATTGCCATATACCGGGCACAATTCCAGACTATTATATATAGAATACTATATAATACTATTTAGAGAATATTTAAAAACCCAGTAATATTTTGCCCGACCGAGACCCCTTGCCCGGCAGTCGCACTTACGACCACTCGGCCAACGAGGCAGTTATTAGGCTAGAAACGAGATAGTTATTATATTTGGTAAATATTGCTTTTTATGAGATAGAGCATCTGCTCTATTTAAGCAATATTTACATTTGTCTCTCATGATCCAATTCCAGAGGAATTAAAACTTTTACTGCAGGTATAAGGATTTTTACACATGCACAAAAATGTGTTCAGAGTTAATTTTATTTTATAGACATATAAAGCAAGTGAGTGATCAAGTAATACTCTGTCTCGTTGATAAACACTAATTATTGTTATTTATAGGCTTTTGAAGTACTTTAATTATTTACTAAATAAAACTTATTTTTCAGGAGTTCAGAAGCTGAAGTGAAGAAATTAAAGTCGTCGATGGGTCTGGATGGTGAAAGTGATTTAGCTCTAAGCATGGTTAGCGACAACACCCAACGACTGACGAGCGCCGTCAACTCCTTGCCACAACTCATGGAGAAGAAACGGCTTATTGATATGCACACCACTATCGCTACTGGTAAGTGATTTCAAAATGGCCCAATGAAATTAAAATAATATCTGATCAGAATCATTTTCAAGAAGAGTAAATTGCTCCAGCTTAATAATCTCCTTTAGTCAGTTCGTAATACTTACGTTTGACAAGGTTACTCGACTTATTTCGAGCAATACCAGGGCCCATAATCATGAAACACATGCGACGTCCGACATCCGACGCGGCTAATGTTGCGTAGACAACTCCTACTAACGCAACTACGTTGATCCTTAATTTTATTATTTGTTTCGGTTTCCCCTTGGAATATAGAGAATGTGTAATGTAATTTAGGATACTATGCTATGCTTCATTATTGATTTGTGTTTTTTATTTTAGCCATCCTAAACTCAATAAAATCAAGGCGACTAGATTCCTTTTTCGAATTAGAAGAAAAGATAATGAGCAAGAGCAGTGGTATTGAAAGTAAAGCGGTCATGGATCTTATATCGGACCCCAGCGCGGGGACCCCTGAAGATAAGATGCGATTGTTCATTATTTATTATCTGTGCACATCACAAATACCTGAGGACGAGTACAAGAGATTCGAGGCAGCGCTACAAGCCGCTGAATGTGACATCAAACCAATGGCTTACATGAGGCGATGGAAGTGAGTGTAATTTTTATAAATAACTAGCAATGGCAGATGGCATGATTCGGCAAACTTCGTATCACCTAAATTTTTTTTCTTACCTTTCCAACCTTCTCTGGGCGTGTGAAATGTTCGTTTTCACAAACATTTCAAGACCAAAATTAGCCTTATCGGTTCAGCCGTTCCCGAGTTTTAGCGAGACTATCGAACGGAAATTCATTTTTATTTATAAAGATTTGCACTATAAATGATTGACTTGTACCCTAATGTCCAAGATGTAGGTAGTAGTAGGTCTTAGTAGGTGCCTAACTGCCTAATCTACTAAGTTCATTATGACTACCTACCAAGGATGGCAAATGGGATTAGAAAGAAGGCCGTCTTTCGATTATGATAAATGACGTAGATTTCTTTTATCATTTACAGAGGTTTCACGAAGATGTCTAGTCAATATGAAGGTGGTGGCACCAAGACTGTTTCCATGTTCTCCAAACTTGTGTCACAAGGCTCTTCGTTCGTTATGGAAGGAGTCAAAAACTTGGTCGTGAAGAAACACGTGAGTGCAAAAATAATTACATTATTTCTTTCTTGCATAAAAATAAGCACAGGTATTACAACTTGTGTGACGAATTTGCTCGCTTTGTTGATAACGTATGAGCAATACTAATACCTAATAAGACTTTGTATTTAGTGATAGACACGTTTTCTAATTTTAACGACATTAAGAGGGTAGATTAAAGTAAATGCAATAGGTAATCTTTGTATAATCAAAAAGTACCTTTTGAATACTAAAAATTCAACGCGAAAGTTGAAGTCATCAGAAGTAAATGAGTGAGAAAAATGCAAGGAAAAACAACCTTGACTTACCTTGTTTAAATATAACAGTGGTATTCAACCATTGCTAAGACAAATCTTCAATCTGTTCAATAAATATCAAACGTAATAGAAATACAGTTTTGCTTAAGCTATATTACATACACAATATAAGACACTTGAACTAGGACATCCTGTGTTTAGGACGAAATTAGGTAAAAATAATAAACATTGTTAAATAATCATACGTACTTAACTAATAAGTTAGGGTAAATTATGACATTATTTTAGTAGTCATTATGTTCAATGTGTTAGTACTTAGTATACAAATCATTGTCTTCTATTATGTAGAAACTACCAGTAAGCCGTACGGTGGAGGCGGCGCTCAGTGGAGGTGGTAGTGGTGAGGGTGCCGGGGAGCTGCTGTGGCTGGACCCTCGCGCGGCGCGGACTGACGCCGCCGCCCGAGCGCGCTCCGCCAAGCACTCGCCGCCCACCGATGCCGTCGTCTTCCTCGTAGGCGGTGGAAACTACATCGAGTACCACAACCTTATTGATTTTACTAAGGTATTTTTTCTTCATACTATACAAAATGTGTCGTGTCAATTTTTAATGACCTTTTCTTCTTGGTGACCATCGACGACCCTTGTTTTTTAAGTTTTAACTCTTTGTATGTAGAGAAATCACCAACAAACTTCATGCTTATCACTTAGTTTAAAAATTCTGGAATATATTATTTGGTAGACCATTCATTTCTTATCATATAAAAATTATAATAATGAAAACGTCACTTACCCTATGATGTGTGTGATGATTATTTTAAAACTTTTAACATAATTTTGGTATTTTAGCAACAAGCAACGAGCGGGACTTCCAGGAAAATTATCTACGGTGCGACTACTCTCCCGAACGCTTCGCAATTCCTAAAACAACTGTCACTTCTCGGCGAGGAGATACAGTAGACATTCCCGTCACGTCTTCTGATATTATATTCATTATGTATATTGTAATATATAGTAAATGTTATAAATAATTAAATTATAATAAATATCGGTGATTTGTTGCAAGGCAATGAAACGAGTGTCTCAACAAGTTGGCATTTTATTTACAATGACATTGAAAATATAGCTAACATCTAAGAATCTACTAATAAATTTTGATTGTTTTAAACAAGAAGTATAAAATCTAAATCACAAGATTTTTCAACATTAATCAGATCTTAGTCACAAGTTATTACAACTTTCCCGATTAATGTCTGTTAAGAAGACTTTGAAAAAGAAAACAATTTCACAACCGAAACAATACATAGAACAGAAACAATGCATAATATACCTATCGACTAAAATAAACTTGTTGAATTTCCCCCCAGCCCTTAGACTATTGTGCTTAATTAGATAATATAGAAACTAAAAACGTGTATGTTTATTTAAAACATATACATAGTTAATAACCTTCGAAAAATAGTAAATATGTTATAGATTACTCTTAGACTAAACATATTACGTTAATGAATAAACAAAAAAATAATTAGTATTCAAATGACAAGGAACTTGTATTTATCTCGCGTAGCACTGCAGTCTGCTATCTATTGCGATAAAACTCGTTTTATAAGTGTCTAACAAACAAGAAATCTTATAGTATGTTAAGTATAATATTTATCACTGATCATGATATGGATTTGGCACAGTGAAAACTCAACTATCAACAAAATGAAAATAACTAGAGAGCAAACATATGTCGTGTGTACTGCTAAGTGTGTAACAATGGCAAGATCACATTAGCGTATCTACTATTATTCGGTTATATGTGGTAAACAAACGTCTAGTGGTTGTTTGTGCAGAAAGAGGAACGGAAATCAAATTAAGTGTTCTAACACCGGTTTCGGTACTGTTTACATAAACAATAATTAGCTTTAAAAATATCTCTTACATAAAACATTGTGCGCAGTTAAACAAAACATTACATACGGAAACTAAATTATAAAATCGATCACAATTTATAAATAAGTAATAACATACACTCGGTAGAGACATGGCACATGTATAGGTAGCCATTTACACAAAATGGTTAAAAAAGTTAAAACGAATGTTATTATAAGATTAAGAGATTATAATGGGATCTACGCCCGTATGTCAATTCATAAAATACATGACTACAAAAATCCTCATTAAGAACACGTTTACATAATTATGTAGTATACCAACATTTGATAAAACATACACAAAGGAGTTACATAAAATCAGGTATAGGACGTTAGAATTTAAATGAAATTTAACAGTTTCTAAAAAGTATTACGAAACCTATAATAGTACTCTTATTACTTAAACTATAGTAAATACAAGGAGCACTGACAGAACTACTAAAATTACACAGATATTAAGGCGCATTTAGACAATTATTTATTGAACATTACTACACTTACAATTATTAAAAACTTTAAAGCAGTGCATGCTTAACAATCAAGCGATGATTTATTATGACAATAGATCGAAAACATTAGCGAATGACGCGCTTCCATTGGCTCTCATCTTACTGTGAAGCGCGTCACCGGATTATTACCAACAAGTCAGATCAATAAATATTCGGCTCAAAATAAATACTTTTAGCTTCTATAATAAAACGTAAACAATTGCACAAAACATAATATTTTTGAATAAAATACCTTCCTGTCCTTTCTCCTACAAAAATTGTAAGATATCTTGTACCATACACTCGGTTCCTACCCGCGCCACGGCGTTTATTGAAGCTTTGATTCAGATGCAAATACATATCTCTAAACTGTTATGGAACGGAAGATTTAATAATATAGACACAACTCGCACATCATCAGACTTATAAGATTCATTAGGCCAATTTTCATAAATATTAAATGAAAAATTGGTTCATATAATAATATGCATTAAATATCAACAACACCATGGCACGGATTTACAGATAAATTCCATAAGCTGCGATTTGAAGAAAAATCCCAGTGTAAGGTGTGGACGGAAGATATATAATAATAAACTTCATTATAAAATTAAAATGCGACTTACAAAAAGCTTGCATCGACGCCCCACCCCAATATAAATAGACTAAAAACAATCATAATTATGAACACAAATAGCTTCGTATTTAAACAGTAACTAAATAAAATCCTAATTGGAATGTTGTTTAATTTTGTGTAAAAGCTTTGCAAATACATAATATGCAAATAGGCATGATGATAATCTACTAAGTACTTATACAAAATTGATGCAAAATATAGATAAGTACATCAATGATATTAATAAAAACAAATGCTCTTCCCCTCACTCAGTTTGTTCACAATCAAAGATAAATAAGTCAGTTTTTAAAAATAAAATTCTTGTATAAAATTATACTGCAGAAATGGAATGTCAAGTTTAAATTATTTACTTAATTGCCAAATAGAATCATTCTCTGCGGAATGTTAATATTACGCGACAGAAACATACAACCAAAGCCCTTTTACAAGAGGTTGATTTCATAAATAATTTCATTCATAGCATAAATTGCATTTTATAAATAATCAAAAGAAAAAAAAATGAGATTCATCGAATCTGTACATGATACGCTCTCTTCTATAGATAAGCTGTCAACAATGTAGCGAGTAGCTCTTGGTACGTAACTAAACATACGAATTTGAACTTCAGCTGGCATATAATGCGTTACGTAAATTCCGTGTAATTCATAATGTATAACTCCTTTCACGTTGTTTATACCATTAAACACTTTCACTATTCTACCGCTACAGAGAACCAACATATTTTATCCAATGTAAAAGTCGTCGTTAACTTTACCTTACATTTTAATCAAACAACGGAACATTGAAAATGCTGCGGATATTACCTACACAGGGTTTTACAGAAAAAAACTAGCTATCACTTTACAATTTCAGTCTTGCGTACAGATCTTTCACTCTTACCGATAAAACAATAAGTTGAGTCGCGCAAAATATTGTTGGAATAAACCATGTAGCTAGGTAATGTCACGAGATGAATTAGCAAAACAGCACTATTTTATAATCATTTTAAACGCGGAGTATCATATAACAACATTGAATTCAACAGTGCGTATAGGTAAGATATCATAATTCACTACTTAACAGGTATTTGAATATGACAGTGGATATATAGGACTTAGCTTTAGAATCACAAAACTTACGCTAGGCATAGCATAGGTGATCATTTAACAAACTTTAAAACAACTACTTCAAGGGTCAAATAGAATAATCACAATACATGATGTCACTACAGCAAATGTCGTTAACCAGTATCTAAATAGATACTCCAAATGGATATAAGTGGTATGTAAGAAGCGGTACAACATTCTCATCACTTAATATACTTTATCATATCCAACCATTATCATTTAAATGTAAATATTCGTCACTTTATAACTTGTAACTCTAATGAATTTGCAACAGACCTTATTTTTAAATGATTTGTCAGTATCACCATACCTAAGTAATAACTATTAAGTCAGTATCTTTTAAAGAGAACATTTTATTACCCTACCTAATTAATATTGATTTGCTTCAAAATGCAGTAAAAATTAAATTAGAAAATTCGTAAAAAAAAGATTCATGTTCAACAGAGATAGTATTATAGATAAACATTGTCATAATAGTTAAGTTTAATGACGTGAAGAGAAAATACATGTATCAAAGAAGATATATATGTGTAATGAAATGTTTATAAGAATACCAAAAAGTTGAAGAGGTAAGCATAGTGTAACTCCATATTTTTTACTTTTTACTACAATTACCATATTATCCATAATAATTATTTACCCAATTAAAATGGCATATACCTTTATGCAAGCAGAAATGATAAATGACTAGACATAATGTCTTATAAACAGTTCGTTGATTTTTAATCATTATGTAACATGCCTACAATTTAGTTTTAAAAGCACTGCTCCCAAGTACATAGCTTTTGAGGAGCGCTGATTTATAGAACAATAATTGTACAGCATAAAGGCGTCACGATATTAAACTGTCAAATACCAAGCGGTCACCGGTGACCGCGACCTATTGTTCTTTAATTGTGTCTGTAAAACCGGTACTCGACGAGTTAATAGCGCTGACACGAATCTCGTACGCGTTTCTTAGCAACTGTTTTGACATTGAATACCAATTAATTGTGATATCTACCAATTTAACAAGCCATTCACCCAATGGTGCTGTAACAACGGGATTGCGTCGAACTTTATCATTTCGTTAAAAACCTACTATATAAGTTATGTTTCTAGGCAAGTGTAACAATGGCATTGGGAAGGTGGGCAGTCATACAATACAGCTATTGTTTGCTTGAGCCGCTGGCATTGCGACTTGAGCTGCTGCTGCTATTAAGTGCCATTTTCTTCATTTGCCTGATAACCGTAGTAGCATGGTATGCCTGTTTCCAGCGGGACTTGGCAAAGTTCTTCTTGAGCTGTTCAGAAACAGTACCATGGATGTTCTTGTTACTGGCAGCATTTCCAGAGATCCAAGGGTGGTCCAAAGCTTGTCTGGAATAAAATTACTAGTTTTTAGACTACACTATTCTAATAAAATAGACACATAATACAGATTATATTCAAGATAAGTTAGGAATTTATGTGAAGTTATTTAAAAAATATCTTACCAGTGGCTATTTTTATGTATAGGTAATACTTAAGAAAAAGTAACTGTTAAGATATATTGTTGTTTCATTAAGCTTTTTGACACAAAAAGGAGCTGACTAGTAGTCTTTTGACAAAAATGTACTTATAGTTTTAACTAAAATCCTACAAGAAACCTTCTGACATACCCAAAATGTACCCATATATTATAGAAAGAAAGGAGTTCCGTGAATGAATCCATAATGAAAATAAATATTGACGACTCATTGCAAAGTTTTACTTACCCTCCTATAGATAAGAACATTGAAAAAAGTTAAGAATGTTTGTTTCATCCAATAATAATTCTAATAAAATACCTAGGTAAAATAATAATATATGCATCAATTAGCATTTTATGATTTTACATAAGCAATTTAAAAATATGTTAAAGTAATAAATATTGTTTTGTATTTAAATTAAATTTTAGTTTCTTTTGTTCTACAGAAAGCTTGGTATGTAGTTATAATAATATATATATTTTTATCATGTTAAAAAGCAGCAGCACAAACCTAACAAAATGTATTTATTTTTAATTAAAAATGAGTTTCTTATCAATTCCAATAATTACCTAATTTAGTACAAAAAAAAAATTACTTAACTACCTTCTGCATACCAATCAGCCATTCTACTTAAACTTATAAATGATAGAAAAAGCGAATCTAACAGAATATCAAGACTGAGATCAGCCAAATAGTATTTTTGCATAGGATAGGCCGCAGACACCATAATGTAACTTAGAAAAAAATTCTAATTGAGGGGAAAGTGTGGCTTTTCTAACATGTCATCTATAGCCAGAAGGAATGTGTTGATCAAGAAAATGTGAATTATTGTATGTTGTTGATCTAATTGGAACTTACTTGCAAGTATATCTCTTGTCCACATCCACACACATTAAATGCCGAATGAAATCTTTAGCAGAATCACTAATATCATCCCAGTAAGGGGAGTCAAATTCAAAGTCTCCTTTCAAGATCTGAGCGAACAGGTTAGCATCATTCTCATCATAGAATGGAGGGTATCCACAGAGTAGAATGTAAGATATTACTCCTATACTCCACACATCCACAGCCTTGCCATATGGCTTCTGTGCCAGTACCTCGGGGGCAACATATCCAGGTGTACCACATGCTGTAGCCATGATGCCGGAGTCTTCTATCTTGGACAACCCAAAATCGCTTATCATGATCTTACTATCCTCATCAGCACTGTAATACAGTAAGTTCTCTGGTTTCAGATCTCTGTGTACTACTCCTTGAGAGTGCATGTAATCTACTGCTTCCAACACTTGTCTAATTAGATTCGACGCATCTTTTTCGGTGTATGACCCTTTTTCAACAATTCTGTCGAACAATTCTCCACCCGTGACGAGTTCCATCACCAGGTACACTTTATTTTTGTCTTCATATGTCTCGAGCAGCTGGACAATATTCGGATGAGAAAACATTTTTTTCTCGGCACCCTCGCCTTTGGCTTGTTCGCTAAATCTTTTCAAGACCCGAATTTCATTTTCTAATGAATCTTCTTTGCCTTTGAGAGCCTTTTTGTCAATAATTTTACAAGCGAACATCTGCCCGTTTTCTTTGCTCTCTATCAAACGTACCTCGGAAAACGCTCCTGTACCCAGCAGATCTTTGACGACATACTTGTCTTCGATTGATGGCTGTTTCTCTGAATCTTTAGCATCTTTTTTGGACTTCCTCCCAAAATCTTTTTTGCCGAATAAAGGCATCTTCGAGCCCCAAACTCGCAGCTTTTGAACTACTCTACTACTTAATAAATATCTACATACACACTGTAGAATGTAGATAGGTATGTCGAGACTAGCCCGACAGAACAATAATCTTGCTCGGTTGGATTCACGAATGTTGCGCAGGGCGCCCAAGGTCAGACGATTTGTCAAAAATCCGTTATGCGTTTTATTCGCTGGAAACTTCATTATTAGAAAATGGTTCTTGTTATAATAGTGGCATTTCCACTGGTCGTATTTCCTCTTTAATACACAATGCGACGGTTTTATTATTATAATTTAAAAAATATTATATTTGCAATAAAATAAAGAACTACAAAAATCAAAACCAATAAGTAGATGACAAACACTCTTAGGTAGAATAAAACGTAAAGTTTATCACCAACATGTCACACTAGCGCGCGACACACATTACCCGTCTCAAAATCAAGTTTGCACTACAAGCACTTGATTCATGATTGAGATGAATTTGTACATACGTGCAGAACTGGTATAATTTATTCATATCAGTTCCAATACTGTGCGTCTCTTTTCCATAATCTAACAAAGATGAGTTACGTAATAATAATAATATTGTTTAAGTGGTATCTATCTACTATAGGTACTTATTTTAAATGATAACAGAATACAAGGAGACGCACTTAAATTAATACATTTATTTTTATTGTTATCCCTAAATTTATTAGGTTTTTATTAATTTTTAAGGATTAATGAAGTAAAATAATTTATTCTCATTGAATATTTGGTAAACCGCCACGCTATTAACGTGCGTGGTACAGAATAGAAAAGTAAATTTAATGTGGGTAGCTCGGTAAGTTAAGGATTCTGCTCCTTTTTGCCTGTAGAAGTTCCTATGAATTTCTTTAGAAAATCTAAAGTGCAATCAGCCTATTCTTTTGTGGTTTACCTACACATGCGTGAAAGCTGAGTAGATTCGAGTTATTTAACGACCTAATTTAAATTTATTGCTAGTTTACTTACTAGCAAGGGCATGCTCATTTACTGTTATTACTTTATTATCTTTTGTTACTAAAATAATACTTAATAGAAATTTAAAAGTTTTGCTTTTTTATTATTATTACTTATATAATCATTTTTCATGGAGCATCTACCTAACATTTCATGTTCTGGCATCCCCAATCTACATTTCACAACCCCTGTCTATATTTTCCACTGTCTATGGTTCTACCCCCTGACGTCACCGTGAAAATCGACCAATCCCATCGGGCGCAGTGTTCGATGGCCCTTATGCGCGGCATCACTAGCGCGCTTCGTTTCGTACCTTATCTTCTAATGTTTTCGTTGTCCGACAATATGTGCCGTTCCAAAATCATCCTAGCTGTGATTAAAATTGTATAAAATGATCGGTGTCATCATTTTGTCTCTGTGAAAAATAATTTCCATTTTGTTTTATCTCAAGTGTATTAGTTTTCTAAAATATCGTGAGGGGGTGGTGCCGTGATGCCAGTTCGTAAGCAAGGTGAATTTCGATATCCCAATATCGACGTTTAGTGGCTACAGTCACCGTGTTATGTCCACGCTGTCATCGACTTATTATTTAATTTGCACAGGGGGGTTCGCAGCACTTAGTACAGCACCCTATTGTTGATCCGTATAGATATTATTATGAGGGTTGTAACGCACACACACATTTGTAATATATTCTTACCATGCAGCATGTTACACCTACCTACGCTACACATTGTTTTCTGTTTCTTTAATAAAACTGTAAATTGTAAAAAGTTTCGTTTATCGTTGCTACTTGGAAAACATGCCCTTTGTAAAATGTAGGTCGACCATAATACGACTAGGCACTAAGTAGCCGCTCGTGCAATCTTATGACATATCTTAAGCGCGTTAACTTAAACGTTCCCAAGATGCTTTTGCCCATTCTCAACAACAACTTTAGAGCCTCAATTTTATCAACAATTTTGTCCTTTGCCTAGCTACTATCTATTTGGGTAGGTATCTAAAATAAATTTCATACCAGAAGTAAACATGACCCATTTTCAGCACGCCTACTTTTTTATACGAGTTTATTTATTGTACTCTTTGTTTTGGTATAACAGAGGCCCATCGAGCATTAGAACTGCTGGAAGACTACCACAGCAAACTGGTGAAGCCGCAAGACCGACAACTTCGCCTTGCCATCGAGAGAGTTATTAGGATATTTAAATCACGTCTGTTTCAAGCTTTACTTGGTGAGTTAAAAGATCCATTTAGTAAACTGTAACCGTTACTATTAGAACGGAATTTAGTGTATAGCACTAAGTATCAGCATCAATTAACTGTAGTAATCATGAATAGTACGACATAAGACTAGTCTCAAGTGTATTATGGACCTACTTACCGGTTTAAACAAGTCACCTGTCCTACTTAATGACGCACTAGGTACGCTGCCTTATATGCCATTTTCTGGGCTGAATTAAAGAGTCTAACTTACAATTACTTACAACATAAACATTGTGTGACTTCTTTTCACTTGCAGCTTAGACAGTTTTTTTTCGGGAGTATTTTCCGTCGAAAATTCTATCTACCGACATGGCGGTAGGTGCACTTAATCATAGATACTTTGGTACTCGTGGTAGTAGGCAGATATTCTTTTCCACTCTTATCATGTCTCAAATGAGGTCACCCCAACCTCCAGATCAATGTTCTTTAGTCTTTGCTTTACTGTTACTAAACAGAAATAGGTTACCCAGTAAGATATGAAAACAAGCCAAATGTCAGACATTGCTCCCGTTTCAATAGAAACAATAGTTTCTATAGGAATTTTTAATTTATTAGTGTCTACATTATTGTCGTTTTAATTATAGCATTTGTATGCTCAAACTAGGTTATCCTGTTTAAATGTTTGAACGAATGTTTTATATTTTGCGTGAAATAGAAAATCTTTCTTACAGTTTCATCTACGTCGAATAAGTTACGGTCAAGATATGCAAATGTGGAGTATCACAGGGTACAGTCCTAGGACCACCCATGAAATTAGCTACAGAAATAATGTCTACAGTTAAATTCGGTTTCACATTTCAATTGCCTTTCCATTTGTAATAATCCCGTGTATTGTAGGTATAATAGTACCTACAATACATATTACGAATACACTAAGTAAAGTACCTATTCGTAAGTTATAAAAGCAATACATGATTGCAATAGATGTTATGTCAAATAGCTAAATAATACATTTGACCGATGAGTCGATAAGACTAATCGGACCGCTATCCAGGAAAAATAACAATAATATAGTGCACCGTGTTATGGCAATGGGTGCACCATCGATTATGACATTAGTTACATTTAATTGTGCTTTACTACCTTTTGTACCATTGGGTGTAAAAAGATGTAAAGTTATGTTATAACAATAAAGATGCACACCCCTTTTTATGTAGCTTTGAACTTCAGTTCGACTTTGAAGTTCAGTGGTCGAAGGGACCGATTCAGCTCAGAATGCTATAAATATACGGAACAGGCGCGTGACCGCACAACACGTCACTGGCGCTCTTGAATCTTCCTTGACCACGACACTGCTATTGTGATACGATATATTTAGCCAGTTGTACTGAACATTACGCTAGTCTAGTATCTGATATCAACAAAACGAAGGTCTCTCTAGGAAACTAAACGTTTAATCACAGATTTTTCATTTTATCGCATACCTAAGAGTAACGTTGTAAAATGTAATCGTAATTTGGAATATCTGATTAAACTAACATTTCCGGATTCAATTGTTTTTTTCCTTTGCGGTTCAAATATAGTGCATTTAACTAACCGAAGTGGGTATCTAACATGTAAAACACAATTCCTTAGAATTTTAAGATCCCCTAAAGTCCCGCTCATTGCCACCGACGAATTCCAAACATGAACTAAGTAAATAAAATGTCTTTTAATTGTCCAGTGTTCACCCTATATCCACAACCTAAGCACTGATATAGATCTCATTATGACCTACAACCTTATTCGTGTCTTCAGACTGCTTAATTCTGACAAACAACAGTTGACTCCCGAGGGTTTATTTGGTAGTATATGTACTTACCTCTATGTACCATACTGACTGAACGTGGGAAGGTTACCTAATAGGTTAACTGTTCAAAATCGGTGCCAAGTCCATTTTACAGTTCATAAACAGTTAGGTATTGTCGTTCCAGATTTACGACCTAACTAAACATTTAAAAAATAGTTTTGGCCACAACCCGACAACAGATCACACTCAAAAAAATAGTCTGTGCAAGAATCGAACTTATGATACATTTATCCGCAGCAATCACTTTGTCTCTTAGGGTCTATGGACCTGGTTATGACCAGATCCAAATCTAATTTAGGGTTCGATAAGATCTTTAATTCATACAAATTTGTTGTTAAACACAAAATTATAATAGCAAAGTATACCTAAAAAAACAATTTTAAATTTTCTTTCTTTAATTCAAAATTTGTGCTGTTTTCATCAATCACGATTGCGGTTTGATCAAGTTCAATTAGGACTACGTCGATATTATTTATCTACATTGGATTAACCTTGCCCTGTAGTCGATGCGTACTTGATTGCAGCTGACTGCATGCGTCATGTAACGAACACACATGGGCTTCACTGCATCACAGTGACAGAGGTGAAGTTATTCAACTTGCTTTAAAGAATAGAAAGAGAATTTTCAGAACATCTGTCTGTCTATAAAATACAGTTTTCAAAATACTAAAAAAAATAGCTAAATTTATATAAAATGATATAACCTTAATTGTTAATAATTTTAATATATTTTATTTTTACGTTGCGTTTTTAAAAATATTGTACTTATGTCATGATTATTCCTTCTTACCGAATCTTAGACGATTTTGTATAAACTTGTATTGTATTTGTTAAATTAGGACACTATAAGAAATCCTTTTAAACGTGACCATGAGAAAAATACTGACTGTAATGAGTAATAGTAGTAGGTATCTACCCACATTTGATTCAACATTCAATCCTACAACATCTGAATGTCCCCGTAACGTTGTATTACAGTTGACACTAATCTCTCAACAGATACTAATTAAACTCGATCTGAGTGATTGAGTAGGTACACACGCAGTTAAACTGTTGTGTTATTTATCATATGTCGCTTACGCACGCAATCAATTGAAAATAATATGAATAATCTTTACACAATCCCGTTGTTTATTAGTTTGACGTGATAACTGACTAGTCCAGCCTCTGTTGATGACTTTTATGTGTGTAGATACCTATTTAAAGTTACCGAATGACCTTTAAGATAAGGTTATTATGGATAGCTAGTGGGTCACTAGTTCACTACAGTTAAGTACATCTGGTACTTGTAAAAAGAAAAAAAAACACGTGCCATCGGTGTAGATACGTAAAGTGAGTAGTGAGAATAAATCCTCTCCTCTTCCCAATTAGCAGTCAGTATTCCAGTGTGGCCTGGAACACTCCGCCTTTCCCAAATTGACTACCAATTACTGTAACTCGGTGGAAGTTGACGAAATAATGAGCACCGTTCAAGTACCTATATTAACCATATATGTCAGTCATATGTAGGTACATACTACCATACGTAGTACTACGTAGTCAGTTATTTACCTAAGTCCCTAGGTATAGAAAATGCTAGTGCATCGATAATATATTTTTTATTTATATTCTTGAGTACCATTTTGGCCTACTAACTTAGCACGTAACCTATTAGGTATCAACCAATTTCATAACGTACCTCCGGACACCTGATTGACTTGGTCACATGCGACGTGTTTCTAATAATGCATCAATGTTTAGACAATTACATCCTGTTTTGAAGGAACTCCATTGTACACGAATATACAATACTTAGAGATAGGAAGTATAGGAACTAATGTCTTTTACTATAAATTCGAAACATTCTCATTCAAAGGTGCCATTTAAGTAATTAATTGTCATTGTTATTGAATGATTTAGATTACAATAATAAGACATAACCCTTATTATGATGAAGTGCACTTTGATATTGTTATTCTCATTAGTAAATTTTCCTTGTAAACCCAAGGTTATCGATATCAGTGCAGAATATAGCGAACCCGGCAATAAAAGGAGCAAATTTTTGTGATTCATTAGTGTAGAATTTAGATTGCAAAATGCAAGATTCGAAATTTGGTGAAAGGTGTGCCCTTTGATATATTAGACTGTTTTATTAAAACAAGTCCGTCTCATTCACCCAACTAAGTACTACTGCACCTCCAGCAAAGCAGGGTTCACCTTATGAACTTACTGTACTAGAGACCAAGCAATAAAATACAGAAACAATCTATTAATATTTCTGTGGAAACAATGATGTCCGTGCGTCGCAACGACGTAAACTTGAAGAAATGACTCTTGGATCCCACAACGAAATAAATCAGAGGATAACGTACACACTTCAAATTAAAAGTCAATACATATTTTATCTATTTCATAAAGTGTTTGGTATACTTACATTTAGTATTTGTTTAAGTTAGCTAGTTGGATAAGGAGGGAGAGATGGAGTTGTGTTTAATGCACCGTGGATTACAGGCCATAGCACCTCCACCCTAACTCACCCTTTCGGGCAAAAATGATTTTGTTGTGTTTATTGTTTACTCTGTGGCTCTATCGGCCAGGCTATTTTCACCCTGTATGAAACATTGATTGACAATTTCAAAAATCCATCAACCATCATAGTGCGGCAAACATATATGCGTTCGTATGTTCGTAAACTCAACAACATGTGCGCTGGTCTGTTTGACCTACATCTCCCTATATATACGGGTCACCGGCTTTCACCGAGCCTTCGCCTACACATTCGCTTTTCGATATGTTTTAATTAAAACTTTAAACTATAGTACCTAGCTGAGTTCTCCAACTATTCTTATTGAATACCTCTCTGCAACGGACTGTACGGGACATCAGCGGAACGCGAGCGCTCGCTCAACATGAGAACAAACTTCAACTTTACCAATACCATAAAGCTACAAACATCTCATAATTATACGATTTACTTTTGTGAATAAGCGCAGCATTGTCCAATCCAATGGTAGGTACCATATTGGCGATGTCGACCTCTCGCGTCCGGGCCTAGTGCAGGCCATGATGCGGAGCGAGGGGGACTGGGATGCCGTCTCCTCCTTTTGCGAAGCAGTCATGCTAGGTAAGGAGGAGGCGGGACGCGTGAGGCAGCGAAGCACAGCCTCCTCGCAACCCAGCCATCGCGAAGGATACGTCGCGTTCCGCGCGCGCCTTAAAGAGCAATCAGACCACCATAGCTGGTGAACGGTGAACCTAACGGGTAACCGGGGCTCTGGCTCGACGTGCAGGAGAAGGAACGGGGTGGTTTTTAGTCAGTAAGAGTCTGACACTCCCTTCCGCCTCACCCAGGCGGGAGCAGTCATTCGATGATTTCCCCCCTTAAAAAAAAATGGTAGGTACCATCAACTTGTTCACAACAGAATAATGATAGATTCGAAATTTAAAATGTTATTCCTATCACCTTTGGTGTCGAGATGTCATATTGTAGGTATTCAATATCAAATAGGTGCTTTGGTTAAGTTTTGGTCGTAATAAATCTCGGTAGGTAGGTATTTGCGTCACAATTAATTATTGTAGCCTGTGCGCTGTGCGCGTTTTAACAACCATAGAGATATCGCTTCGCTTATCAATAGTTTAATGTTTCTTTGTGTTTTCAATATTTTCGATAACTAACCTACTTTTAACTATGTAGCGCAATGAAAAAAAGTTACCTACCTATGCACAAAAAAATTGTCTAAAGTAGGTAGTATATGTTTAGTTAAGATATTTTCTAGTACCTATTTCATTACCTTAAAAGGATTATACCTAAGTTATGTAGACTAATAAAATCCCATGTAACATTTTTCGCATGGTCCTTGATAACAGGACCATGACATGGTCCGTGGTAAAAGTCAACTAAACTTTAATTCGACACTCAGTGTTATCACACACGAAATTGCTAGGCGATTTTGTAAGATGTCAGTTCGAACTCTCGAAGTGAGCTCGATCGCGGTCCATCATTCTTGCCCGTCATTCGTCGAGATATTATCACAACCGCGATCGAACTCACTTCGAGAGTTCGAATTGACATCTTACAAAATCGCCTAGCAATTTCGTGTGTGATAACACTGAGTGTCGTATTAAACCGTCGAATTAAGTCTTGTGATATGATTTTTTTACTGAAACAACCCAAATCAAAACATTTTACATTACACCCCTCTCGTTCTCGTTACATGGACAAACGCCTGTAGCTACATTCCTGATACTCTAGTGCCTAATTAAAAGGAGGTAGGTACCTAAGTGCCTCATAATTTTACATGATGTGCTCTATGTTACGATCAAGGGAAGCTGTGAAGTGTAAACCTCTGGAAATTCTAGCTCTAAGCTGCCTTTTAGCCTCCCTTAATTATTTTCATAATAGAAAATGCACCAAGTTCATCCACTCCGACATGAAACACCGTGGGGTCGCCGTCCGCACGTTCGATATCGATCTCTATACAACACGACTCACGCGATAGTTTCCACTACCTACCCACCTACCTACAAATGAACGGAATTGTTCTAGATTAACTCTTTCAGATAAGCCTTTATAGGCCGAATACCTATTTAACCATACAATACAATACAATACACGGCTCCTTCTTTCAATATCGAACAATATGCCAACTAAATCGATTATTGTCAGTGACAAGTAAACAAACGGCTCACCTAAATGCATTAATAAGTTATGACAACTCAAGGTCCTGAGAGAATCGATTGGAAGCATTCGATTCAATTATATTTTTGCTGTGTCACAGATATTCAAGAGTTCTACGAGCTCACACTTCTCGATGACACCAAGTCAGTTCAGCAAAAGACTGCGGAAACGATACGTATCGCGAACAAATGGGAAGCTGACAACGTTCGACGCGAAGTAAGTACATTTCAATAAGTAAATAATAATTGGCAAATATTTTTCAATAACTAGGTCAGACGTGAAACTGCTGCAAAATTGTAGAGATCTTAAATAAAAGCAAAATATTCATAAATAAAAGATTTGTATTCGGGTATCTGTTTGTTTAATGCAATCTTTGCTCCTCGAGTCTGCAGTTTTAACTGGGTTATTTACAGAACCATTGCAAACTTCTCGATGTCTGGTCTTTATATTGACTTATTTTTTATTGTGGGTTACCTCACAGACGGCATGGTTGTTGCTGTATATTTGCATAGCAACAACCATGTCGTTTGTGATGGTACTCACTTGCTCACGACTAGAGATGGGCAGAGGGTTTAAACCCAATGGACGGAAACGGGTTTATACCGGGTTTTTGGGTTTGAAGCGGGTTTAAACCCGAGTAAAAACCCAAACAGTGGGTCTAAATTACTTTCACTAATATCTTGGACCGTGGTTATAACACAATTTAGGTATGTATTTATAACACCTATGTTAACAAATAAATAAATGATAATATTTATGATTAGGTACTTCTAGTGTTTTTTGGAGTATAAATATCACTAATAGTGGTACAATCAACAGTAGGTACATGAAGTTTCACAACTTACTCTTCGAACATGAGATTTTAACAGTTATATTATAATTTATGCAAGTATTTCACCACAGCTTAATAGCATGACCTTGCAGATTTCAAATAGGTAATAGCCACAGTATTTACTTTTAAATAACACAATCAATATTTACAATCATTTAGAGTCAGTGTCATACCCAGAATTATCATTATCAGGTGATCAATTTACAATCATTCAGAGTCAATGTCAGTCCCAGAATTATCACTATCAGATTGTCCACAATCAACGAATACCAACTCATTTGATGTCGTTGCTTCCGATTGAGATGGGGCAAATACTTCGTCCTCAATAGCATTTGTATCGGTTTGCGGTGAACTTTCATGTGGTGTTGGAGTTTCTTCACTAATCTGATCATCATTTAAACTTTCATTTACCGTCTTTCTGTGTAAAATGTTCCAGTTGTATGATACAAAAGTTATTTTGGCGGCTCTTTCCGCAGTAAGACGATTCCGTTTTATGCTGTGGACGTTTGCTTGAGCGCTAAATTGCGTTCCGTTGCTGCAGACGTACATGTGCCGTAAGAATCCTCAAAGCCACTTTGCTCAGCTGTCGAGCTACATATACCTTTCCACCACACAACTGGTTCAATATCTCCCAGAGATCGCCAAACAAATTGTTTGCCCCAGAAACATTCTTTTGCTTTATAATTAGCGAGATTGGGTGTTACATCTAAATTCAGCCTTTGCCCTCCTTCATTGTATATGAACTCCATGGCTAGAAGTTCTTGCTCTTGGTTGAGCTCTAAACCTTGCTCTCTAGGGTCAAGCATGTATGCTGCCATGTGTATAGGTTTTACACACATACTTGCCCTTAAATCCACTGATACTAAAATTTCAAACTTCTCCTCCTCACTCAACATTGTTATAGATGGAAGCACAAATTCTAATTTCGATTTAATATTTTTAAATATTATAAATACTTTGCTTATGCAGTGATCATTTCCCTCTAATTCAAATATACATTCTGTTATAGGTTCTATAACTTTGATAGATTCTTCCGTTTTGTTCCAAAACTCTTCCTCCAGCAGCATTCTTTTTAAATCTCGGGGATATTCACGGTTTCATCTACTGCCAAGCTTTGCAGAGCAGCTTTATTCTTTTTCAAACTTTTTAAAGCTGTCACTGTACTTCCCCAGCGGGTTTTAACGGGTAGTTTCAATTTTTCTCCACAACCCTTGATTTTTATAATTTTTGAAAGTTGAGCGCTTAGAATTTGGCTTTTTTTAATTATTTTTATCACATTCACAGCCTCATCTATAAAGTTTTTCATGGTTTCTGATTTTGAACAGTGTTGACTTAATAAATTTAGTACATGAGCACAACAACCGAGTGGAGTAATATGTGGATATTTATTTTTAACTATTTCGAATGCTTTTTGCATATTTTTAGCATTATCCCCTATGAGGACTACAAACTTATTTACACCATACGTTTTCATCACATTTTCTATTTCACTTGCAATATATTGGCTGGTGTGGCGATTAGTTTCTGTATTCAAACTTTTTATGAATACTGGTTGAGGCTTTGATATGACAAAATTTATTATACCTTCAACACGTAAATTACTCCAACCGTCACATTGGAGGTGAAGATAACTTGCAGATTGTAACTCTTCGCTCAACACTGTTCGCATCTCATTATAAATTTGATCCAAATATTTAGTAGCGAGTGCTTTTCGTGATGGCATCTTAAATTGCAGTTTCTTAAAAAAGTTAATCCAAAGAGGATGCTCTACCATAGATAAAGGAGTGGCTGTTACAAAAATTGCCTTAGAAAACTCTACAGCAAGGTCACTCTCTGTAATGCGTGTGCTGTGTCTTTCGTCTTCCTGTAAAATACTCGTACTTGTACTTGCTGTAGGTGGGCAAATCGGTAGTATTACTCGTACTACTAACCTTCTTGTACTTCCTGAAAGTTATGCGACGTACCAGTCCTGCCTTTCTTTTCCAAATGCAGTGTTATCATTTGTTTTTTTAAAACGGGTGGACTCTTGAAACAAGCAATGAGATGTTGAGTCATTTTGGCAATGTTGCTGTATCGGTATACTTTATCACAGAACTTACATTTAACCGATTTATTACCTAACTCGTGATAATGTCGCCATACACGCTGGTCTTTCGGCCGACCCATTTGAACTAAAACAAACATAAGTAGGTAATTAAATAATAGTTAGTTTCGAGTTTACGACATTATTAGTTCTACGCAATATTTTCTTACGCAAATACTTCAGTACACTTACCTTGTATCGTCTAAACACTAGTGAAAATATATATAAGAACTGCTTACTTGCAGTAATTAAATATTTTGAATTACGATCTCACGGATTACAAACACTTCTATTCCACAATTCACTTCATTTCACAAGCAAGGGAAGACTTCGACTGAGCCGGAATCGACCGAGAACAAAGGCGTTGCTGGAGTGCGGTGCGCGGGCGGCGCGGCCTTTATCGCTTGATAGAAAGAGAGCATACACGAGCGACATAAGTGCAACAAAGAGCGGCATATTTCTTTCTCTAACTCGTCGTCTACCTGCCGCGCCATTTGTTTAATTTGAAGAAAATTTATCAAAAAAGATGATTTAAAAACGACAACTATGGTAAATACTACTAAAATATTCACAATAATTTACGTTTACCACGTTTAAATTGATAAATTTCACCAAACCAATAAACTCCCGAATAAAAACCCAGTGGGAGGGAATAAATGGGTTTTTATTGGGTTTAAACCCAGTAAACGGGTTAAAACCCGGTTGATTGCCCATCTCTACTCACGACACGAAAATTTTACTACTCTACTTACTTCTTACCTGTGTCATCGGAAATCTAAATAAAGTTTCACCGTTTCTTACTTAAATGCGGACACTATTTTAAACATCTTCTCTTTTGAAATGCAAGGATTCATTAACTCTCATCATTTTCTAAATGTTTTGAGGGTAGGTAAGTACGATAGTTGAGAGTTTGATGAAGGCGCATTTTTATACTTAATTGAATAAGTCCTTCCCTAAGAGATGAATCTCTATCGACGTTTTTTAGTGTCTTATTTTAAATGAGATTTTACAACGTGGTACGTTATTTAATTGGTAAAGTTCCCTTCATGAGTTGTGGGTCAAATTTCGCCAAGATTTGCTCTACAAGTTTACATTGATTCAATAACATTGAGTTGGCTTAGTTGCATAATAATGTAGGTAAATATCGTGTATGTACCCACTTACAGGCAGGTCTAGGTCAACTTTGCTTGAACAACCAATAAAGTTAGATGCGGGTGAACACCTTAGATAATAATGGTTATTTCAATCTGGTCTAAGTATAACCAATTATTAGAAGCTATTAGGAACGAACTATTTTTCCAGATTCCACACACAGAGGACGGCGACTACCGTAGCGTATCCAATGCATTCCTACAAGAGAACCACAGAAAATCCGAATCCCGAAATGCTACGCCAGATTCAACGAAGGTAAGCTTATGACTAGGTACCCAATTTTCCTTTACTTATGACCAGTTTTTACAGGGTCTGTAGGTAGTCAAGCACCTAAATAGAGTAGCATGTTATACGTAGGTACGTACTACCTACTTATTACTTACAGCCCATAAAGTCACACATAAATGTCCAATAATACATTCAACATTGTGTGTGACCAATTTCTGATTAGGTACGATTACATTTATCAGAAATGTAAATCAGCAATTCGATTCAATGTGAATAAGGCTCAATGGTTACATACAGCCTCCTTACTGATGAATTCAATAAACTGAATAAACGATGTTGCCCCTAGATGTCGTTACTGTGGCTCTCAGCAAACTGGATTTAGTATTTGGATTGATGGAGGATTGCGACCTCACCGTTTTCTACAAGCAACTTGAATTTCTAATGCCTTTTCTGAACTGAACTGAATTTGAGCCAGATTATTTAAAGACATAGAAATTAGGTTTTATTGGTATATATCTACGTACCCAACTTTACTATTAGGCCTGATAAGTTATGATCTATATTGGATAGATAATTACACCAACTTAAGTATTTATGTAAATTAATAAAGTAAATACCTTTCCTAATAATCATGTTTTTGCTTTAATAGGCTTATTGTGTCGTTCTACCGACTGGAGAAATCGAGGAAAAAAAGGTAAGTTTGTAAGAGTTTACATAACTACGTAATGGATTTGTGTCTTTATGGCCAAACTTACTTATTGAACACTTATTTCTTAATTTCTAAGTCATGAAAACAATGGTGAAAATTCTATAATCTTGAAATAAAATAAAAATAAGTTGTTGCCATAGTCACTATCTTACCACATACAGCGCCATCTTTCGTAAATTGTTTATAGTTTTAAGAATAGAGTCGTGGATCTGGCGGTGGATCGATACTAGAGATGGGATTTTACCCGGAAAAAACCCGAATATGGGAAAAAACCGGGAAAAAACCCGGGGAAAATTCCCGAATGGGAAAATATTCGGGTTTTTTCATATTTAACACATGTAACAAATAAGTAATGTGTAGATTATGTACATATCATATAGTACGTACTATTTAAGAACTATTACGACAAGTTAGAGCTAATCTAACTTTGTTTATGTCCATAATGCAGTAATAACGTTCTTAACATCCTTAGGTACTATCAAGATAGATTAGATACTATCAAATGAAATAAAATAAAATTAAACAAAAATCCTGTCTGTTTGTGTGTGATCCTCCGCCCTTAGCGACAGGTAACCCGAAAATACGTGAGCGGGTAGAGGGGCAGGGAAGCAGGTAGTAGAGGGGCGAGCGCGTTGGTGATCTATCTATCTCACACGTTGTTTCGGCTTCATACTGTGCGCACTCGTGTTAATTTGTTGGTTTAATTGACGACTTGGATTTTGTATGGAGGACTTTTGGTTACCTAATGATTTCTTTTGAATTGACAACAACTGCTACTCTTATGGACTTTGATATGAACCTACTTTTTTTACGAACGAAATTTACCGGTAAATTTATAGTTTTGTATCTTTTGTAAAGTATAATAAATGATTGTTAGCAAGAGTATCTCTCGTTGTTTTATTATATTTTAGTCAAACATTCTTTAAAGTTTAATAGGTATTTTTTCTGTTGTTAATATTCCATCACAGAGCGCAGTAAAAACTTATTTTAAAACAAGAAGACGTCTTTATGGTGTTATAATAAATATGCTGGTTATGTATTAGTTCTTGAAACAGACTACAAATTTTAACGTTTCAAATAACAGACAACAGCTAGTGCCTTATACAAATACAAATATTCACAATACACATTATATATGATATTTCTGAAACCAGCACTGTATTTAATATAAATAACAGATGCAACTCAAATTCCGTGCCAAAATGGAAAACAGTGCCAATGTAACAACTACATAAAAACAAAAATTTGAATTTGGAACCAAACAAATCATCCATTCCCAATACTTTTTTGAGTGAACGTATTTGTGCATCACAAAGTACCATTTTTCTTTAGTTTTGAAAATAAAAATAGAATAAGATCAATATAAATGAAAATACCCGCCTATTGGGTTTTTTCCCACATAAAAACCGGGTTTTTTCCCAAATGGGAAAAAATCTGGGTTTTTTCCCTTTGGGTTTTTTCCCAGTGCCCATCTCTAATCGATACGATGATTCCTTCATTTTTTTTATTTTGATGACGTGACGTTTACGAAAGTGGCTGAACAGAGCGCTAGGTACAACAAGTGGACGGTAATGGCGGATGGTTGGTGTTTCGCGTCTCGTAGTACTATTTATAACCTAAAATATAGTACAAGTTTTCGGCGATATGTGCGCTAACGTTTCTTGGTTGTGTGGATTGGTGCCGTTAAATTTCACAATTGTGCCAATGACGTACGAACGCTACATCGACTGAAAGTATACTACTCTAAATGATAATCAGTGAAATGATATTGCACACAAAATTTTGACATTCACACTGCCGAGATTTCGTATTCGTTGCAAGTAAGGCCATTTAATAAACACTAATCTATTTTTAAACGTTTAGTAATTTCTTTACACTCTGGGAACGTTTTCAATTCTTGGTGAGACTAATGCGACTTCGGAGTTAGTTTTGCTTGTAACAATTCGCTGTTACTTGCCCATGGTTGATAGGTACAATATAAGTACTATGATACTATCAAGTGCCCATAAATTGCACACTAATAATGTAACACGGACATTCTAATTAAGGTTCATCGCTTTGACATTCATACCATCCTATCATCGAACACAAGTTGGTAACACGCCTAATAATTACCCAGCCATACATATACCATATCTACTAAACGCTATCAATAAAGGGCTCGGCTAAAATTCGTCCATTCATTAGATAAGGACTGCTGCAATTTAAACTAAGCTAACATGATAAAGAGCTTTAAATGTAATGGGATTACCTGCAACTTGAAAAGAGGTCGCATACCTTCTAAAAGGTCACATACCTACTTGATATGTTTTGGTGCAAGTTAGTTGTGGGTTCTAGGTAGAGAATGGTGCATGCTGAACATCGTCAAGTAAGCTGAAAGTGGACACAAGTGTGTAACTAACAATGCATGCAGTGTACATAGTGTAGTACGGACATCAAAATAAATTCCCTGAGGGCTATGCACACTTGGTCTTGAAAATGACAGAAAGACGGAAGAAAAAATCACATAATGGATTCCTTCGGAAAGTGTCATCCTTGTTTAATCTTGATACGGTGAGTAGGTGACATGACTTCAATTTGATTCAGTTCCAGACAATCAATGAAACATTAATGAATTTTCACTATTGTCACATGACAATTGTTGCTTATACTTCTACTCAGACGTTTTAATAATTGTCTATAGGTTCATGTTTCTATCAAGATATTTATTTAAACCAATATATTATATAATATTTATATGATTTCTATCTATAAAAATAAGTTTTCTTATCAGTTACATCAGTACCTAATTGTTTATTGGCATTCAAATACTTCCAGGTGTTGAATAAGTAAATGACTTGTATGACATGTAAGATTAATATATACCAGTTTGTATTGGCCCTTCACAATATTCACTATAATAATTAATATTCATAATAATCAGAATGTCAATATGTACTCAATATTACATACATATTAATAGTTTTCTTAGTTATTACAACCTGTTCTTGTCATAATATTTTTAAAACATGTTCCTGTTGTTGTTTGTAATTAACATGACTTGATGAACTTTTATTCATATTTTAAAATAATAATTTAATACCTATAACTATGTACCTATTCAGGAATATCTAGAATTTTATGTGTGTAAACATTTTTATTGAATTTATTTAACAATACCTATTTAAATTATTTATGTATGTACATAATTTCATTATAACATTCCTAATTATACCTAATTACCTATTACTATTTGGTATACAGCTTAACTTGATTTTATCATTCTTTTTATTTACTTTGGTGATAAGATGTCATATTAACTTCTCATAGTACTACTGATAATAATCTAAATTAATATGGCCATGGAAAATTTGGCCCTTAGTTTGAAGTTAAAAGTTAATTTAAGTATTATTTTCAGGCTCACGTCACATCACCAGAAATGAAGCAGGTAATTCAATTATTTGACACATTTATTTGTAAAAGATATGAGCTATTCCAATGAAATATATTTAATTATAGAATAAGTTATAGTTTAATCTGTCAAACACCAAGCGGTCACCGGTGACCGCAACCTATTGTTCTATAATTGTGTCTGAAATGACGGTACTCGACGAGTTAAGTAAGAAAAGCATTCAATTTCCCAGATCACTAACTAATTATTATTTTATAAGAAACATGACCTATAAGTAAATGTTTATCAATTGTCTATCCAAATATTGGTACCATCAATGATCTGCAAATGAAGATCCCTATCTGAATAAAATACTTAAATCAGTCAAATGTAGAGATATTCTGAATATGGACACAGGTGGTAGTTGATGTCATTATGTTAACTGATATGTTATCAATCCTTACATCATTCCCTTGAAGACTTAAGACTCTAATCTATACTATAGATTTTAGTAAACTAACTATGTGTGCAGTATGTAGTATAATGTCTAACAATATGTAATAGCCTTTGCAGGTAAATGGCATAGAAGGTGGTGGCACAGACCGTACGCAGGGTGATGATGGGTACATGTACATGACAGTGGTACTCTCGCGTGCGGGGGGAGCGGGGCTTGGCTTCAGCATCGCAGGAGGGTCTGACAACCCTCATGTGGCTGATGACCCACACATCTATGTCACAAAACTCATTCCCGGGGGAGCAGCTGCTGCCAGTCAGTTGCAGATCAATGATGCAATATTACAGGTAATATTACCTATTAATAATTATGTTTAATAGCTTATTCATGCAACATTGACACAAGTTAGAAAACTTGACTAGTTTCAAGCCACACTAAGATCTCATATTCTTGAGCAGCAGTAAATTCACTATGTCTTTAGAGAGTTATAATACAATATTGCCTATGTTACGTTTTTATAAGCAGGATTGTAATGTAACTATAAGTGAATGATGTGGCCAATTGATTTATATGGTCCATGTCTAAATGAAAACGACGCTACGAGAATTTATTCAAACATGGTCATCTAGCTAGAAAATACACACCTACATAATTTGCGGGAAATACTGTTTACTTTATTATTTACTTTAATTAACTTTTGTCGTCAGGTGAATGACACGAACGTCGATAATGTTACGCACGCTGAAGCAGTGGATGCATTAAAAAAGGCTGGCAATACTGTGAGACTGGTGAGTTTGTTTATTTACTTTATTACGTTCTCATCAGCTGCTGAGTCGAAATTAAGCAAATACATGACTCAAGCTGTTAGCCTAATATCTCTTTTACGTCACTTGATAACGCGGTCATCTCAGCATACAAGGAGTGTCCACATTACTCGTAGGAAGGTAATGGGCTAAAGTACAGAAACTACTGTCAAGGTGTAGTGTGTAATTACAAGTGAAAAGGTCGTAAAGCATTTATTGTTTTGAAATTAGTGACAAGTGTCGTCAAAGCAGACAAGAATTAACAGGACCGCGAGCGCGATATATTGCGTGATGTTACGGCAGTCGCCGCATGCCGCACTCCGCTCGTATCGCGCAATTAAACTAACCATGAAGGAGGTTTTATTAAATGCAATCAGAAGAATCAATGTATGTGTACACTGTACCTCCATATGAGTGACATACTTCATAAACAGAATAAATTCGTCATTATGCTAAGAACATTGATTGTTCATGTGGTTCTTGCCAACTTTGATTCATAATTGAACTATTGAGGGCGTGTGCTATGTAAAACTCCAGCGTTTGGCCTTCACACAAGGACTCTTTTACAATAAACATTGTGTGTCCCGCAAAATACATGACTCACGGCCGTTAAACTCGCCCGTCTTCAATACATTAAAAATATTTATATACTTTCAGAAAATACGACGTCGCGCGACAGAAGATACTTCTAATGTTTTACAAGTTACGAAGCCCGAGGAATCCGTAGAGATCGAGCTGGTGAAAGGTGGCTCAGGTCTCGGGTTCAGTATAGCGGGGGGTCTCGGCAATCAACATATCCCAGGTGACAATGGAATCTACGTGACCAAGATAATGGCCGGTGGTGCTGCTCATAGAGACGGCCGTTTGAGGGTTGGTGATAAACTGCTAATGGTCAAGAATACTTCGGTGAGTTGTGTTATTGAACTTTCACATGCCGAAGTGCTAATTGCCGTTGTGGGAGTGTAACGCTGAGTGTGTCCGCCCCCAGCACGGCGACGTGAACCTCGACAACGTGACGCACGAGGACGCGGTGGCGGCGCTGAAGGCCACGGGCGAGCGAGTGCTGCTGGTGCTGGTGCCGGGCCCGCGCCACGGCCAGCCCTCGCCGCGCACCTCGCGAGCCAACACGCGTGAGTACACGACCTTCACAGCTTCGCCCTAATGTACACCGGCCCTGTAGGCCTCCGGCCAATGCCAGCCTTTATTGCTAGTTTAAACAAGCTGATGTAATGTGTACCCGACCACTGTTTACCTATATGTTATATCGTCCTATTAAATATTGCACGTACAGCCACGAGAATGACAATTGAAAATACTGAAACAGCGTCAAGCACAGCGAATTCACTGCGACGTGAAGATGTGACGGACAGCAACGAGGAGTCGAGGGTGGTGGACTTGGAGAAGGGTCCGCAGGGGTTAGGATTCAACATAGTGGGGGGAGAGGACGGACATGGCATTTATGTATCGTTCCTACTGGCGGGGGGCCCGGCCGAGCGCTCGGGACAGCTCCGCCGCGGCGACAGACTGCTCGCTGTCAATGACGTAGACATTACTCACGCTACGCACGAACAAGCCGCTAAAGCTTTGAAGGTAATCTATATTATCATGATTCTATTTACCAAAGTATCAATATACCAGTAGCATTGAGTAGGAGCCAATAAATTGTCGTAGTGTCATTTCAAAACTACTGGATGCATTGTATGACATTGTTAGTGTTGAAATGTACGCGGAAGTAAAGCGTTTATAATTTAAACTTAATGTTTTGATTAAATTCAGCCTTGTACCTACTTTATGCACTGGAGTAAAGTCGCTGTGACTGTATAACAATATGAGTTTTTACAGTATGACAAATTTGTTTAGTATTTTTACGCTAAAACCAAAATATTATTGATGAACCTGCATTCTTTAAGTATTATCACTTACTGGATTTGCTTACCATACTGACTTATTTATAGAAACACTAGCGACCGGCCCCGGCTTCGCACGGGTGTACCTGGATATACATTTATTATGTATACAAACCTTCCATAAGAATCATTCTATCTATTAAAAAAAAAACCGCATCAAAATCCGTTGCGTAGTTTTAAAGATCTAAGCATACATACACAGACAGACAAACAGCGGATAGAGACTTTGTTTTATACTATGAAGTGATGAAACATCAAGTAATCAATAAGAATAATTCCACTCATGACTGCATAGAATAACGTCGCAGTAATAATTATCTTGTAACGTTTCAGAGTACGGGACAGAATGTAAAACTAACAGTGGTGTACAGGCCTCAGGAGTACAACAAGTTCGAAGCGCGCATTAATGAACTGAAACAACATCATACACTACTGAGAACATCCCAAAAACGATCCCTCTATGTTAGGTGAGATCATGCACCTATTTATTATTATTTTGAACTAACTTTTCCTTAAATACTTGACAAAATCATTGTACTAGGTATTAAATAAACAGTTATTCAATTGTAATGAACCATGTTTCTTATCAATATTTATTTCAAATTGCTTAGTTTAGAATTTCCTGAATTCTTATGATTGAATTGTAATGAATTGCACCCAGTAACCATATTGGATTTTACACTGTAAAGGGAATGAAGGATAATATTAAATATTTCCTTGTTTATGAGTTGTTGTGTTAATGTTGGCATTAATATCGATTGCAGAGCATTGTTCGACTACGATCCGATCAGGGACGACGGTTTGCCGTCGAGAGGTCTACCGTTCAGGTACGGCGACATCTTACACGTGACCAACGCTTCCGACGACGAGTGGTGGCAAGCCAGGTACAGTAACACAACACTCAGTACTCAGTTGATAACGAAAAAATTTTTCTTCATCATATTAGTCACAAGACATCCACAGCTAGACATAATGCATGCAGCATGACCAAAGACTTCTATAAACTTTATCTAGTTATCATACCTAGTAATACTAGGTCAGGACCTTACAAGAAAAATACCTCTTATTATACAGGTATAATAAAAGGTATTTTTCGTGTCAAGACTAGGTATTATTTGAAACCGTTATACATGTTTGGAATTAATCAAAATATGCATTTGTTTCCTCTATTTATCTACAGGAATGACTAAACTGTTGAATAAAACTGCTGTTATTATGAATGTTTCTGTATTTTAATATCCAATTATTTGATTTCAGGCGGCTAGACAAATCAGATTCAGACGCGATCGGTATCATCCCATCGAAGCGGCGGTGGGAGCGCAAGCAGAGAGCTCGAGATCGTCAGGTCAAGTTCCAGGGACAAGGCACACCAGTTAGCACTGTGAGCTTACTAAATATTTCTATATTACTAGTTGTTAAAGGACTTTGTGCTGAAGAAAGTTGTAGGAAATCGTTTATAAAGTATTCAATTGGCTGGAGAGAGGGGGAGAATGCTCTTCAATTAGTTAAAAAATATGCAACTAATTTATCACAGTGCTTCATAAAAATCTCTGAAGATGGCTAAAGGAAGATAACTATCCTTTTCATGTACGAATAGTTTAATTTACTAAAATATCAAATAGCTATTTTGCATGCCGATAAAACTTAAAAAGAAGGAATCTCCAAATGTGAATCATATTCACGAATTAATGTTTAATTGTTTGTCCTCGCTACTACATTCAAAACACGTTTTACTCATGCAATTCTTGATGCGCATTAGATCTCCATTTTGTTTACCAGTAGGTGGCCTTGCCAGTTCGATAAACAAATATACCGGTTGTTGAATAGGCATCAATTTGTCTTCAATGGTATTGATCATCTTTAATACCAGGAATGGAAATAAGTCGTAAACAAACCCAAGTTTTAGACAATATTTAGGTCGATTGTTTCGAAATGGTAATTTTGTCGTGACTAGATAGAATTGACTTTGTAACAAATGTTTATTATTTAGAACATGAATTAACAAAACGTTTTGGATTTTATTATGAGTTGTTGAACTCTTATTTCGCCTTTCGACTGCCTCGCTGGCCGTGTGGTCGCATGTGTGACTGTCGGGCAAGGGGTCTCGGGTTCGATTCCCAGGACGGGCAAAGTATTACTGAGTTTTTAAAAAAAATCTCAGTAGCAGCACGGAGTCTGGAATTGTGCCCGGTATATGGCAATAGGCTCACCCCCTATTACATGGGACTATAACATAAATTGTGATAATTGGGTGTTACATTGTACATAATGTGCACCTCTGCCTACCCCTTCGGGAATAAAAGGCGTGATGTTATGTATGTGTCATGTTATGAACTCTTATTTGGAAATTAACATAATTTTATCTGCAATTACAGAGCCAATCAACGCTCGAAAGGAAAAAGAAAACGTTGTCGTTCAGCAGAAAGTTCCCATTTATGAAGAGTCGAGAGGACGGCAAATCTGAAGACGGTTCAGACCAAGAACGTAAGTGTAGCAAACGGCATAACTTCCTCACTACTGTATACATCCACAGCACGTCTCACTTGCCATACATTTAAATATCATTAACTGTTCACAGACATTATAAATAATGTATTATATGGTGCAGTGGTACATGTGAAATGATAATGATTCTATATTCAGAGTTCGAGGTATTAATCAGTATGTTTTGTGCAGAACAAGTAATTGGTAATTCACGTGAGCAAGCGTCACAGGGGTGTGGTGTTTACATGAAGAGCTTTGCCGCACAGACAAACTAATAAAACAATTTTGTTACAGCTTTCATGCTTTGTTACACGCAGGAGGACGCTAACGCGGACGGTAAGTGCACATTCCCTTGTCCTCTCATATTTATTACTTTCGCTACTGTGCTGTTAATCGTATGTAGGTCATTACGCAGTTTTTTTTTCATGCGGCTGCTAATAACCACTATTTAAAGTTAGGTCGTTTTACATTGGAGCTATTCGCTTATTCTAACCACAGAACCAATTCACGTTCGATGTTAAACAAGTGAATAGAGCTTTCGTGAACGGTTCCCATTCATGTTACGACTACTTGATTACTATGAGCCATCGAACAAATTGTTAAATACACAATTAAATTCAACAATGTAACAATTGTGTAAAAGGTGTTTGTTTGCCCTACATACCTATATTAAATTACAAAAAGTCATAATACTATCATTCACTTTGAACAACAAATATCTATTATCATACATTTTTTTATATTGTACTATATAACTTATGTATCTTCTTGTACTCTATTATGATTTGATCATGAGAATGTGTAACTTGACATCATAATTATTGGAAAATAGACACTCTAAAATCATATGAAGAAACACAAATCATATTGTTGTGTGAACGTCTGAACATCACAGTGTAGTGAACTTTACTATTATATCTATTTTAATCAAAATGTGCCGGATCTATGTGAGTAAATTATCGCTTGTAGTGTGTTTGAAAAAAGCATGGTGATGCCTATAATATTAAAATATAGGTCTAGCAAATTGCCAGTAATCGGCATATCATTGTCGCTTGTCGAATAATACAATGTCGGGGGCGACCCGGTGACAAGCTATGTACTTATTACCTCTGTGTGTTAGATAGTTTTATTTTTTATATGCAGCTCTTATCGCATAACTGTGTTTGTTACGTGCCTTAAATGTCCAACAGATGGCAGCCGGCATTGTGTCTTACTACAATTTTGATTTGATAAATAATGAAATTGTACTAGTAATGGTGAAACACGGGTGTGTGATGAGAGCTTAGAGATACGATTTGGTGTTCCACAAGTAGTTAATGTTGAAAATGAAAGTGGTCGCAGCGAGCACACGGGTTGGTTTGAGACACATCCGGCCGCCGTCCCGTGCTTCTAGTTGCCTTACCGGAGCCAACGATTACATCTACCTATCATCCGTCCAAGAGACGAGTTATTATTATTTGCAATTTATTTTCCCAACCGCTATTCACGAACTTGTAGAGTTCTGCTAACTACTACCATGCTAGGGAAGTCGAACACACCTGTCCATGATTCCGTCCGAACGGAGGTTCCCACCCCTGGTCCCGTACCCACGTACGGACGCATATTGCTGCGTTTTATATAAATATATGTAACGTTAATTTTTCTACGTGTAGGGGAAATCTTGTATCGAGTGGAACTTCCCATGATGGAGGAGATAACGCTCATTTATCTCGAGGACGAGAGTAAGTTTTGGGAGTGAGGCGTAGCTTGCGAGTGCCGTAGCCGATACCTTACCTCCCGCATTCTGGTTATGATCATCAATTAGAAATGTAGTTTTCATTTCAATAACACTCCAGTTTTTATTATTTGTCATACTTTCTTTATGTTCAGTTGTTTTTAATTCATACAACGCGATTACTCTAATAGCCTCTCCGCACTCGAAAATATGACCATCGAGCTCACAAAAGTGTTTGGATGATTGTTTCAAAATTGTAAGTGAGGGCTGAGTAACTGAGTAGTGGGCGGTGGACGTAGCGGGAGTGGGCCACTGGAAGCACACGAGGACACGAGAGCCGCCTCTGTCTCACCGGCTGAGCTTCGGGCCACGCATGCCAGCACCGCGCCGCTTTGCCTTAGTCTAGTCACGTCACGCGCATGTCTGATCTACTCTCGATCTCACGACATTCTCATACGAGCTTGTTTTCCTTTTCAAAATTTACGCTGTGCTGGTTTATTTTTAGAGTTAGTTTTTGTCGCTTCAGATGTTTAGGGATGCTGTAATTATTATTAGCCTATCTGTCGCTGACATACATAATTATTGGTTGTTGTAATAAAATGTGTACATTTGCTTATTACTACACTTCTCTTGAAGACGATGTTGATGGGCATAATTGAGCCAGAATTAAATAAATTATACCTTGAAACATGTTGGCAAGACAATGAGGTTTTATTTAATTTTGGCTAGTAGTAAGCAGATTCATGTTGTTTAGAATAATGTAGAAGAAAGCATAATTCGTTACCTAAGAAATTATGACGTACTATTTCTATCATATTTAATTTTTTTATTATTCGCCATTATTTAGCAGGCGATGTACAATGTTAATTATTTCTTGGGTCGAAATAAAATTTTATTCCAGAATTATGTATAATGTAGCAGGCAGGTGTTTTAATGCATACCTCGCTAAGTAAGTCGAAACATCCGTCAACTTCTAGTATTTATATTTATGATGTATACGATTTATCTATTTAATTATATATTACACAATTCAGTATTACTATAATACACGCTTCAATTAAATATGGCCTAGGTTAGGTAGACATTTGATATTGGGCTAATTAAAGTAGAGTATTGCGATCAATCAGAATGAACTATTGAACTTTTTGTGTCAATAAGACCTCTACACATAGATTTCGTTTCGTGTTTACTGTGTATTGGTATGAGAATAGGTCAATTTGCCGCACAAGTAATGCACGTAATACGTTATTTTGATCTACGCACAAATCGCACGAATGATGTTGTGTACACCTTTGATCGGTTATTGGTTACACGGACATAAGGAACTAAACAATTTGAAGTGGATTTAAGTAGATTAAACGAGAGACAAGTCCTATAGTTTAAAACATACGCACATAAATGGGCACAAAGACTGTCTTCTCTGAGAAGTTAGAAGTTGTACTGACTATGTTTTGTATGCATAATAAAATGTGATATGTTACAGGTCAAGATGAAACGGTGCTATCTTATGAGACCGTACAACAGTTGACCATAAGTTACACGCGACCCGTCATAATCCTGGGCCCACTCAAGGACAGAATAAACGACGATCTTATATCTGAGTTCCCTGAGAAATTCGGCAGCTGTGTGCCTCGTGAGTATACTAATGTATAATTTACCTCATAAACCTCTTAAGTCGACAAAACCCTAGTGTTCATACAAAACCCTAGTGTTCATAAGAAAGTCCACAATGTTTACCATTATACAATAACTTGCTTCGTTTCTTTACATCGAATTTTGGTGTGGGTGTCAGCATATCTAGCTTGATGTTTTATCTTAATTCACTATATTTTCTACATAGTTATTGCCTCAAAAGTAAAAAAAAAATAAGAATATTAACTCGTCGAGTACCGGTTTTACAGACACAATTAAAGAACAATAGGTCGCGGTTACCGGTGACCGCTTGGTATTTGACAGTTTAATAAAGTTGTATTTATTGAAGAAAAATTCCAATAATAATTTTGTAACTGCAGATACGACCCGCCCCCGACGCGACTACGAGGTGGACGGTCGAGACTACCACTTCGTAGCGAGCCGGGAGCAGATGGAGCGCGACATACAGAACCACTTGTTCATCGAGGCCGGACAGTACAACGACAACCTGTACGGTACTTCAGTCGCATCCGTCAGAGAAGTCGCTGAAAAGGTAAACGAAGAAACAGCAACATGTTATAAATATTGATAATGTTTTTACGGTTTTATTATTTTCGTACATGATGATAATAAATCATAGTAAAGATCTGTTAACTAAAAATAATAATTAAGGGCCCCGGTTTAACTCGAAACTACCGGACATACGCTATTTTACACTATTATAAATAGGTTAGCACACCGTAAAACCTATTTAATGCAATATGTGACGAAAACCTGCAATGATAAATAGGGAAATAACTCTGGTTAAATTTAAATTATTTTATAATTTTCCTTTTGCATTTTAACGTATTTTCATTCTATTGTGTTACAGGGTAAACATTGCATTTTGGATGTAAGCGGTAATGCAATCAAGCGATTACAAGTGGCGCAGTTGTACCCTATTGCCATATTTATAAAACCAAAGAGCATAGAGTCTATAATGTGAGTATATTGGGAAATTAGTAATAAGTTTTTTGTACTTAATACAATAAATAAAATTCATTTTCTGAATAAATGCATAATATTATTTTGATTTACAGGGAAATGAATAAACGAATGACTGAAGAGCAAGCGAAAAAGACATACGAACGTGCGCTAAAGATGGAACAAGAATTCGCTGAATATTTCACTGGTTCGTATACTTGATATAGTGATGTAACACTATTATGTAGTGTGTTGTGTATGTATGGGGTGACGAACGTGTAATGTTTGCAGCGGTAGTGACGGGCGACACGCCGGAGGAGATCTACGCGAAGGTGAAGGCGGTGATCACGGCGGAGAGCGGGCCCGCCGTCTGGGTTCCGCGTCGCGAGCCGCTGTGAACCCCCCTCCCCCACTAGTGCCTCGGTGCCTCGCCCCTCCCCCCTACAAGGTGCGGCTCACACGTTTTGTACCAAGTCTCGCGACCCAGCAATAAGCAGTAGTGACCCGCGCCACCCCGCCATGTTATATGTGCGCTAAGCGTACGATTTTCGCGTCTTTTTAGAATTACGATCAGACTTTCTTCAATCACCGCTTGATAGATAGACCATATCGGAGTTAATTTAGCATTAAAGGGATTTCTAAAGTTAATGTAAATTGTCACCATGTGGATAAATTGTTGACCAAGAACTCGCTAATGATAGCATTCACTGTTGTTCACTGTACTTACGCTTATGTTTATCGTGCAAATTATTAACGAGAGCGTGTCGTCGAATGCAAGTTTTATATCGAATTATTATTTACTTATTTGACAATGCCCACTAATTGTGCTTCAATTAACTGTATAGTTATTGAATATTTAATAACATTTTAAAATGGTATTATACATGTTAATTTACTCAGGTTGCTAGATACATTTCGAATTTTTCGTCAGTGTTAAGAGTTTAATATAATACATTATTCAGATAGTGGATTGACGTATGAGCCGAGTCACGTGCACAGTGATGTTGCAGACCGCCGACCGCTATATAAAGTGTATACCTACTAGTTATGATAGTTACGCTGTGTAGTTGAACCCACCTCACGCATGGCTAGTGTAAGACGTACATAATCAGGATTATTTGCTCAAGCGGCAATCTATATCGTATCGTAACCATTGAATCTCATGACATTTCTGCACACCGTTGTCCTACTTGACACTTAGACGAGGTGCAAAGTTGTTTGTTGATCATTTTTATAGTAAGCAATTGTGTTATATGGTGTGAAATGTCTCACCAATTAAATAGTGTTTGACATTTATTTATTGAGAATTTTATTTTCTTACGGAATAATTGATGCTCATCTGCAAATATGGCACTAGAAGCGAGCATGTAATTAAGTTGCAATATACTTGTTGTTACGTCTTAGTGTATGCATTGCTGAAATTGTGCCCTTAATAACAAAGTAATGATTACCCTGAGTATTATGTACCTTAGTATAAAAAACGATGCATATACTTTTAAATATTAAAAAACGTGGTACTTAAATATTTTATTAATATGTTTCAAATATAATGCGAATGTTAAAGTATTAATTAATTAACTCATACATGACAAATGCTAATGACGGATATTACAAAATATTTTAAATTTCGACTCAGAAAGGCATTACGGCAAACTTGGTTGGTGTGTTATTGTAGGAAGGAACTGTTAAATTGTTGAATCCACCAAAGAGATTTGACACTGTTTATATTAGCAATATTGGCCAAGCACTATTTACACGACGTTAATTCGTAATTACACCGCTGTTTGTCGTGGTTCCTTTCTACGATTTTGTTGTGTAATGTAAATAATAATAATGATAGACATTTTAATTTATTTTTAAGATTCTATATCATGTATTAACACCATAGTCACGAAAATGGTTTATTTTTAAAGCTATTTATTTTATCATTTATAAGTAGGTATTTTATTTAATAATAAATTGAGTTTGTGCAAATTAAGTGTATAATGTCTTTTAACATGTAGTTTATAACAATTTAATCCACATCCATATTTGCAGATGTACAATGTTTATGAGTTAGTGATGTTCAATAGAATAGTTTGAATAAAATTATTTACGTTGAAAATTGATTATTGTTTTCTTTTGTCCTCCTCTTTTTGGTCTTAAGATGGAAAATCCTCGTGCTACCTATATGCACGTCCAGGATTAAGCGACCATGACACATCTGGTCACGACATACAGCTCTAAGTACATGATTACATAACTAACGAAAATATGTTTACACATTTGCATTGACTGCACGGTTGGTGCGGTGGCTGGGCAACCGGCTGCCGTGCAACGTGTCGCGGGTTCGATTCCTGCACGGAACAACACTTTGTGTGATCCACAAATTGTTGTTTCGGGTCTGGCTGTCATGTGTATGTGAACTTGTATGTTTGTCAACACAGGAGGTAATCCTAGTGTAGGGCAACGTTTTCAAAAAGAAAAAGAAATCTATGATTAACTAGCCAGCGGGTTCGCCCGCGTTCTCGTGGGATAAAAACTACCTTATGTGTTATTCCAGACCACGATCTACCCATATTTCATAGCTATTCTTTCAGCCGTTTTGATGTTAAGGGGTAACAAATATACAAACATCGCATTTATAATATTAGTTGTAGGATAGTAGAGTTGAGATGTGATTGAATCATAGAGGAACTAGCAATAGACCTCTCGTCCTATTAAAGGCAAATGTTTTATAGAAAACTAGCTTCTGCCAGCGGTTCCGGTGGTTAAAAAGTAGCCTGTGTTTTTCCAGACCACACCCCTGTTCCAAATTTCATCCTTTCAGCTGTTTTGACATAGTATAAAGAACTGTGTTCTTTATACTATGGTTTTGATGTGAACGAGTAAGTAACAAATATACAAACTTTTGCATTCATTGAAAACTAGCTTCTGCCCGCGACGTCGTACGCGTAATCCCGTTTTCCCCCGTTTCCGTAGAGTATTCCGGATTTTTTTTGTCTTACGAACCTTCTCTAATTAATAACAAATACAATAAAAAAATGATTTAGTGAAATCGGTCCAGCCTTACACGCGTGATGCCGTGCCATGCCGACCAAGGGAAAAAGGGATTCACGCATTCAGGAATCGCCGTTAAGCATTCAATTCGTTATCAAATACACATAAATCAACGCCTGCACGATTAAATTAGCAAAGTTGTAGCTCGTGTTTTTTGTTGATTTAATTTAAAAAATGTACGTGTCACCACACTAGGATTTTTCCTGTCCTGACTGCGTTTACAAACTTTGCACAAACTCGTGTAAAATCGTATGTTTGTAAACGCACGTGTCGTGAGTATGAAACATAAACCCGGCAACAATTTGTGGATCGCACAGGGAATTGCTCCGTGCGGAAATCGAGCCCGTGACACGTTACGCGGCAGCTAGTTGCCCAGCCACCGCGAAGTGTGCAGTCAAATTCTATGTGCTATTACTATTAATAATGTCCTTATGGTTATTTTCTTTTTCGATCTCTTTGACTGGATTTTGGTCACACAACTGAGATGATGACAGGGTATTAAAATTAAAAATCTGATTATTCCGTAAGTTAGATAATGAAAAAATATTAGACACGTATTTTTTTATTTTGTCGTATAATAAAACAATACATAAATAAAACGAATCAAAGTTTAGGAGTGGGGCTAAAACGTTATTTCTACGTATAAAATGTACATAGAAGTAACGTCACGCGACATTTCAAATCAATATATCGTCGAAAGTATTCGTTTCTGTAAGAAAATAAAAAATACATGTCTAATAATTTAAAAAATCTACCAGACGGACATTAAAATAAAAATTATGCCTACTGTACCCATAAAACTATATGGGTAGGTAACTAAAGAAATATATTGTAAACCTGACTGTCGTTCGTTCTTCTCCATAGGAATGAGCAAATAGCTTAAATTTTTGGTTTATGGTCAGTGACTTTCTTGTTTAACTGAAATGATTTTGAGTAGGTAATTAGAATTATCAAAAATCGAAAGACCTTGATGCGGCATTCGCTTTTTTACACCATCACCTGCCCTACCAACTAGGTACTTACTCCTAATATGCCGTCTAACCATCTTTACGAAACTTACTAAAGCTACTTTGGAACTAACTAGATATTAGTTCTAGGTTTCATTGCACAAAATATGATATACGTTTGACGGCTAACCCAGGTTGTAGGACACTTTGTGTCTCAGTTTTAATAATTCAAAGTGTAACTAATGACTGATACTTCAGTCTATAAGGTACCCCTTTTATAACCCTTTTTTTTTAAAGGGGGAAAATCATCGAGTGACTGCTCCCGCCTGGGTGAGGCGGAAGGGAGTTTCAGACCCTTACTGACTAAAAACCACCCCGTTCCTTCTCCTGCACGTCGAGCCGGAGCCCCGGTTACCCGTTAGGTTCTCCGCGACTCCGAATCGGCATCGGCCCTATTGGGCCCCATCTGTGGTGGTCTGATGGCTCTTTGAGGCGCGCGCGGAACGCGACGCGCCGTACCTACGCTCGGGTCTGTTTCTGGTCGGACGGGGAGCCACCCATGCTCGCCGTCTGCAGGCCCGCGCTTACGGTGGCCGGAGATCGCCCCGCGATCCCCGACGCCCGGTGTGTCCTTCGCGATGGCTGGGTTGCGAGGAGGCAGCGCTTCGCTGCCTCACGCGTTCCGCCTCCTCCTTAGCTAGCATAACTGCTTCGCAAAAGGAGGAGACGGCATCCCAGTACCCCTCGCCCGGACGCGAGAGGTCGCCATCGCCGATCACTTCCCTGAGGGCACGGCGGTGCTCAGCCCACGCAGGGCATTCCGCTACGGTGTGTTCCACCGTGTCCTCAACCTCTTTTAGAACCCTAAGGAGTTCGATTTCGTAGGCGAATCTGGAAGTGGTATATGCAGAACATTTTTGCAATGATTCTTATTACCTACTTTTGAATGAGCCTATGTAAACCACTACTAGTATGGTTAAGTTGGGATATAAATAAAACTAATTTCATCAAATTAAAATTATTTTATGTCCTTAAATCTCATCCACTTCAACAGTTGTTTTCTCAGACACGTAGAGACCGTCTAAGAACTTTCTGATGTCCTTGTTTTTCACTGTGGTTGATTGTTGGATAAGGGCCGCAGAGCTCGACACATCCTCCAGGGAGTTGCCTTCAATGATCAGCTCATCCTTCTGTTTGGGCGAGTTGACGACGGTCACACCAGGTGCCATCTTTACCCTCCTGATGTATTTCTCACCAAGGAAGTTACGGATCTCAATGACTGAGTTGCCCTCAGTTGTGACACAGTTGATGGGGAAATGGGCATATACAGAACGCATTTTGTACTGGAATCCCTTGGTGACACCTGAAACATGAAAAAATATATTGATTAATAGGGGTTAAAATTAAAAGTTATTGGTATACTAGGAGTACTATGTAAATAAAGTCTGTTCTTCAATAGATAATTTGACAGAAAGGAGCATAGGGCATAGGGCCCAGTTTCTGAGGGGAGCTACGAGATGCGCCTCTTACCATAAAGGCAGATGTGCCAACAAATTTACAAGCATCTATTTTGGTGTTTGCCTAGGGCGATCTTTAGGTTCAATCAGTCTGCTGATAAATTAATATGGCTTTGGAGGTACAGGTTATGAAAACTACTAGATGTATACAGTATGGGCTATTGTTGATATTTTAATACTGATGCAGGTAAAGAGAAAAGTTTGTCTCTGATTCAACTACCCAGTCACAGGTTAATTTAGTTTAATTTGTATTTAATTTAATCTCAAATTCAAAAGCATCTATTTTAATTAAATCATAATTTAATACTTTTGAAATGTCAACAAATATAAAATAAATAATAGTCTATCAGTCTGTTTGTCAGTAAAGCTAGGTTATTTATTGATTTGGACATCAACATAACTGAACAGTGTTTATGCATTACAAAATGTGAACCAAGAATCATATATGCTAATGATATTTGACGATGATGAATGACTGCCAGAGAATGCTGTTAGCATTAAGTCTTCCATAAGCATTGTATAAAACTTAAATAAACAAAATAAAGATATTTCAAATCATTTGAGAAGAAATAATAATGTTTTAATTCAATTGCTGAACAACAAATACCTATCACATCTTGTAATGAAAATGATAAGCAAGAATTCAATCGGAGTGTAAGTGTTTAATGAGTTAAGGATTGTCAAAACAAGTATTAAAAAAATTCTGATTGGCACACTGCACAGAACTATTAAATTCAGTACCAAATGTGAACTGTACAGTTCAACATGGTATTCAACATGGTACCTAAAACATTTTAATTACATTCTCCCTCAAAATAAAAATTACAAGATGATGTTTAGCTTATGATTTCATTATTATTATTTGATCAGTAAGTATCTTTAGAGCAGAGTTAAGTGTGAGCAGAAGTGTTAAGATTTTTTTTTACTACTGACACCACATTAACAAAGCCACAACATGGGATCTACAATTTATTATAATAACCAAACTAAAGACACCATGTGAATGGTACAATCATAAATCTTAAGAATTTGAAGTAATTCTAGTGTCTCCAATATAGAATTTATGAATTTGCAGGTTATAACTTTGTTCATGAGAATAACAACATAGAAGTAAACAATTTACCTTTGATCATGTTCTCAACGTGTGAGCAGACAGTCCTCACGGCGGCGAGTTCCTTCTTGGAGCCAAACCATTTTTCTACCTTCAGGACTCGCGGGTTCACCATGCGAATGTCAACAGCCAAGTGCTTGAAGTTCCTTTTCAAAACTCCGCGCGGTCCTTTCACTGTCACCAACCGCGATTTAACGTGTACAGTGAGCCCCTCGGGGATCTTCACTTTTTGATTCGCAACTATTTGCTTCATGGTCAAGCCTAAAACGATAATAAATATGGTTACAGAACTTAACCTGTTTGTAGTAACACTTGTCAACTCGGGAGGGTATGTTTTATGTTTAGTAAATGAAATATAGTTTATAACTGATCCTAAATGTTATTCCTTATATAAATCGATCACTATCACATCGATATATTAAATACTTATAGAGATTTTCATGGATTTTTGTAATTACAAACATATTCACCTACTTTCTTTGACACAAGAGCCGGAAAAGGCAGAATCGCCAAAAAGGTGTTGCTAGTATACAAATTTGACAGATGTTGCGTTACGCATATTCTCAGTTGTTTGAAAAATAAAACTAAGTATAATAAAACCGACTATTTTAATAATGATATTTTTCATTATGAAAGTATAAATAAGTTTCATTACAGTCACTCATTGTTGTAGCATTTATATGAAGCTATGTTTTTATATTATTTTACGTTGAAAAAAAATTACAGCATCATGCATATGAGCAAAGCACCTGAAAAACCCATTACAAATTAGTAGATTAAGTTTTTATAACCAGGACGACGAGACAGTTTTTTACGGGTGTATTTTAAATGTCTTTTAGACAAAATGTTTTGTCGTGCATGTCTCTATTGTTTAGTTTAAATTTTTATACGAGAATATCAGTATTTAAATATCAGCTGAGTGACATTGTCATTGTCATCTGTCATTTATGTGACTGTCATGTGTCAAGTGCGAAAATCAACGAAGAGTTAAAAATACAGAATCTTGTATAAAAAAACAAGATTATTAAATGAAAATTGGTAACAAGTACATTTATATTTGCTAATAATGTTCAAATCGTTTATCCAAGCAGAAGTGACGCTCTGCCGGAGAATTTTTGTAAGAAGTAAGTTTAACTTCTAGGTTATTTTGTAAACTGGTACAAGATCAGGTGATTTACAGCATAAATTTAATTATTTTCAGGTCTTAATACTGGATCACCATGGGATATTGTGACGGGAGTTTGTGTGGAGAGACTGCCAGTGGTCACTCCACCTTTGAATGAAATGCAAAAGAAATTTATGGCACTCCAAAGTACCCTAGAAATTGAGAAGAGTATGAAGTCAGACCATGAAATCCGGCATGAAAACGATAAGTAAGTTTGGGCACGAATGGGCCGGCTCGACCGTAGTGATACCACGGCCACACATAAGACCGACGTGAAGCAATGCTTGCGTTATGTTTCGTCGTGCAAGTGAGGTCCAATTCAATCCCCCCCCCCCCTTCCCCAATCTCCCCAATCCTCGAATTCCTAACACAATCCTCAAAAGACTGGTATGCACTTGTAACGCCTCTAGTGTTCCAGGTGTCCATAGGTGACGCCGATTGCTTACCATGACCCGTCTACTTGTTTAACGGCTTATACAATAAAAAAAAGAAAACCCTAAAGGCTATTCACTTATGTATTGTCACATTAATAATTTTTATTTTTAAGAATCCAAGCTGAACTGCTGAAGAAGGAGTCAGCTGATGTGGATGTGGATGCAGTGAGCAAAATTACTGCTCAGGACTTCGAGGACGCTTCTAACGAAGAGCTGACTCAGTTCAAATTTGCTAGTATAGAAACCGGTAAACATTTAAGTATACTGTTAAAAAATAAAGTACCCCTTCTAAATAGTATTAATTCGCCAGTGCAAACAGTATTAATACATAAGTAAAGACATTCTTATGACACTAATATCTTATTTCACAAACTGCAATTGTTAACTAAGGTCGCTTACCTCATCTCACTGCTTCTAGTGAGACTATCTGACTATTGATGTCCAAATACACCCGATGGCTCTTTGTTTATTTGATCAGTTATAAGATAAACTATTTGAATTCAGATGCAGACAAAAAAGGTGACAAAACCTCAACGGAAAGATGCCTTCAAAGACACTTGGTATTAGTGACACCTATCAAACTAGGCTCTGATGTCAAAACATTACTACCGCAAGGATTGTGGAAGGAAGGGGAAACTTTAAGACAGGTATAAAATATTTTAAAAACATATTTGTTTTAAAGTTTTAAACTAAGTCATGGTCATTATAATATGATTCTGCCACATGAAATCAGTACATACGTACATATTATATAACATCACTCTTTTTATCCGAGAAGGGGTAGGCAGAGTTGCACATGATGGCACTTAATACCAATGCACAATGCAAGACCAACTTTTCACTATTTATGTTTTGCGTCCCATGTAATAGGGGGCAGCCTATTGCCACATACCGGGCACAATTTCAGCCTCCATGCTACTACTGAGAATTTTTTAAAATCCAGTGTTACATTGCTCGACCCGGGAATCGAACCCGATCGAACCCTTGCCCAGCAGACGCACTTGCGACTGCTCAATGAGGCAGTCGAGCAAAAAGAATAGTTTTCCCACATATTTGAAGTTGATATTTGTTTTTTAATATTGGAAAGTATGAATAAACTTATTTTTTAACATCTCTATTACATAAGCAATTTTTAGGATACACATCATATACATTATTTCATTAAGACAATCAGGTGTGAAAACTATTAAAAGTCAAACTGAATGTTTCAGACTGCTGAGAGAACAGTAAAGGAGCAGTGTGGGCCTGAACTGAATGTGCAGTTCTTGTCAAATGCACCATGTGGCTTCTATAAGTACAAATATCCTTCTGAAGTGAACGGGAAAATAGGTGCTAAAGTAAGTATATATAAGTCAAAGTCGTCGATTACTAGGACGTCCACCCCCGAGGTGGACAGACAACTTGATTATGGTCGAAGGGGCGCTGCTGGATGTAGGTCGTTTCCACCCGGCCTATCTGAAAGTAATTGCGGGAGGCCTATGTTCAGCAGTGGACGTCCTATGGCTAATATGGTGATGATGAAACCAAGATTTTAATTTATTTAGTAATTAAATACTCATACATGCAAGATACAAGTGAAAAACAATACTCTTCTTACAATTGGGTACAAACTTAAAAATAAGTCATAAAGATGGAGTTATTGTACCATCACGATGCAATAACTCCATATGTGCACGATTCTAGACTGCATTAAAGAATTCTTAAAACTGAATATTTTGAAATTGAAATTTTTTTTAACGTTTATATTTATACCAACACCCAACACGACGTTTAGCTCGACTTTGCAGTTATCTAGTTCGTAACCATAATGCTATCAAACGAATCTACTCACCATTTTCTACTTGGAACCAAACAAAAAATTGTGGTAAAGAATTGTTACCTAATATGATGCTGAGATATTTCTTTAGCCTCCGTCACATTCATACACCGCATCATATCTATAAATTTATACATATAAATAAAATTGGAGTTTCTGTTTGTAATATTGAAAGAACCGCTTTTTACTACATGCATATGAATATACACCAAAATATTTATTTTTTTCAATTTTTGTTTGTCAGTCCGTTTGTTGTTCTGGCTAATCTTTGAACTGACTGGACCGTTTTTGGCAGGAGTTGTGTACTATGGAGTAACTAAGGCTACTTTTTTCACGCGGATGAAGTCGTACGTTCAGCTAGTTTCTAATATAATTTCTTCCATTTCAGGTATTCTTCTACTACGCCAATTACAAAAGTGGAAAGCCAAACAAGACTAAAGGCAACTGGCTAACTCGCAATGAGCTACAAGATATTCTACCAGACAGATATAACAAGTCTGTTAAAGAGTTTCTAATAGAAGAAACATATTGATAGTTTTGTTTAGAGAATAGCATTTTTGTAGTAATAAATAAAATATGGTTTATAATGTTTATCGTTGTTTTTTTATTAGTATTTAAGTCTCGTAATATCATGCCTTTTAATCACTTGGTATATAGTACCGGAAATCACCAAAATTTGTTCATACAAAATTAGTCTCTAAACATCGGTAATAAGGTCTATAATAGAGTTAGTGGAAAGTGGACACCGGTTGGGGATTATCCTCGCAGAAATGTTCAATGTAACAACCACTTCCCACCTCCAGTTATGTCTCATGTAACAGGGTCAGGGAGAGTCTATTGCCATATCGGGCACAATACCGCTTTTCTTTCCTTCTTCCTAATTTTCCCGAGCTGGGAATCGAACCCAAGGCGCCTTTGGTCGGCAATCGCATGGTAGGTACTTGTGAACTTTACAGTCTAGTCTAGCATTTAAATTAATCCAATAACAATCAGTAAAATAATAGTAATCGGAACCAATGGATCGGTACGCACTTGCACTTGCTTCCTACAAAGCCGCAGTCGACATACCTAAACAATATTACGTTTATTGATCCTTGAAGAGGTACGCAGTGGACCAGAGGCTCTAATTTGCAATACCCACTTAGGAGTTCCTAGGGTTGGAGTCTATTGACATGCCGAGCACAAATTCACGTTATTAGGTAGGTACTTAGGTATAGGTACTTACCTAAAGACTCAAAAACAAAAAAAAACCTACTGGACAATCGAACCTGAAACCGCTTTTAAGCAGTTGCATTTGCGACCACTAGTTACGAACAACGAGGTAGTAAAGCAGGGATTATATTTTATCTACGCGACTTATAAATATCATATGAACTAGCAACTTACGCGCGGTTTCACACGCTCTGCTCAGCTCCTATTGGTCGTAACGTGATGTACCCTATAGCCATCCTCGATAAATGCGCTATCCAACACAAAAATAATTATTCAAATCAGACTTGTAGTTACGAAAATTAGCGCGTTCAAGCAAACAAAAAAAAAACAACCTCTTCCGCTTTAGGTATATAATAGTACCTACCTACCTATAAGAGTATACCTAAGATATAAGATAAGATAAATAATCAAATGCAGTATTAAAATTTAGTTCAATATTTCGTTTAAAATGTAAGTGCCTAATTGCCCCTACAAAGTATGAAGTAGTTGGGCACGTAGACATCAAGACTACCCGAGCGTACGGCGCGTAGCGTTCCGCGCGCGCCTCAAAGAGCCATCAGACCACCACAGATGGGGCCCAATAGGGCCGATGCCGATTCGGAGTCGCGGAGAACCTAACGGGTAACTGGGGCTCCGGCTCGACGTGCAGGAGAAGGAACGGGGTGGTTTTTAGTCAGTAAGAGTCTGACACTCCCTTCCGCCTCACCGAGGCGGGAGCAGTCATTCGATGATTTCCCCCCCTTAAAAAAAAAGACATCAAGACTAAGTTAGCATCGCGCATCAGTCTGCCTACCAATTGTGTTGTCGAAAGTTCTGGTCAACCCTGGACGCTGAAACTATTTCTAATTGACAACTATATTCATAGCTGTAATGTTATGAAAGAAACGAACGTAAAACGTTTTATTGTTATGAACAATTAAACTTCAAAACATATGATTCATATAACAAAAGAGTTCGTAGTACAACATTGTATATTTTCAGAATTTTCTAGACATACATGTTTTTCATTGGACATTTTGTTTACATTCTTGGAAATAATGTAAACTAAGTACTTGGGTAGTGACGAGTGATGAATGGCCAGGGCTGGCGCCGGGGGCGAGGTAGGTATATAAACATGGACTAGGTATATTATGTACTAGTTTTGCGCCAGTGACTTTGCCCGCATGGAGTTTTGAAGACTTCATTCGAGTAGTAGTAGCAATAGAAAAATAAACTTATATTAATCTCAGAAAGGAGCGAAAGGTAAGCTTTCCAATTGTGAATTCAAATTTGCCTTGTAGTTTTGAAGTTTGGTCAATACAAACAAACGAAACATAAAACGAAATTGACTTGACGGTTTCTAATTAAAGTAGGTAGAGATAAATGCACTTGTACTTTTCTTAAACCCGGATAACAAAGGTCGTTTTGGCTAATAAGCAATTTAAGTATCTACCTCTAGTTTAAAACTAAAGACAACAACATCTTCTACTGACAATGTTCTATTAATTTTAAAAGCTCTGCATTGTTCAGTGAAATAAACAATGAAAAATATACATATTTTAGAGCACTCACTTAGCATTAAACTATATTAAAATATGAACTACCTTGCCCATTTTAAAGTGCGCAGTTAGCTTTCATTTGTGGGGGTACTGAGAAATAATGTTTAGCGCGAATCTCGCGCGGCCAGCGCTTCACAGTAAAGCATCGAAATAGAAGTTTACTTAAACAATGAGCGGGGTTTACGAGTAAACACTTTTTGGTGCCCGACTCCCGAAGATTCCAGGTGTTCGCCTTGCCAAATGTGAATCTTATGAGCTTGGTATTAGATTTTAATTTACATTACAATTAATGAGCGTTTTAAATGAGAATCGGGAGCAGTTGGTTTTTCGATATCGCTCCTTATGTCGTGTATAGAGAGTTGGTTTTGGTGTTGATGATCGTGAGTTTGTTCGCTCAAGATGGAATATGTTAGCTGCACTTCCCAAGGCTCCCGTCTTTTCGTTTACAAACAACGGTGTGCTGTTTTTCGTTTGTGCCGTGCGAGATTAAATAATTTTCTATGAAAAGTATGTAAACATTGTTGTGTTGTTTTCCTTCCGTCAAAGTACTTGTTGTTACAGTTAATTGTTTATTTTGCGATTCCCTGGGATTAGGGAGTATAAGTAGCCCTTTAAATGAGTTAATTTAATGGCCAATCGATATTTACAATGTTTAATATTAAGGGTATTACACAAAAAGTTATTTCTCTTGAAGTATTCAGGTACACTATGTAAGTACCTATGTACATACCAAGTTCCTAACTATTTGGTGATAGCAATACGAGGTTTATTGTTTTGTAGGTTGACTTGTAGCTCTTTGCCAACTCTTTGTCCATAACTGACTACAGAAAAGGAAGGCAAAGGAATTAATACTTTCTTAGTAGGTAGGTACTGACTATTTCATGCAAGTAAAGTGTGGGAGAGCCATGCTTTAGCATGAATGGGCCGGCTCGACCGTAGCGATACCATGGCCTCACAGAAAACCGACGTGAAACAACGCTTGCGTTGTGTTTCGTCGTGTAAGTGAAGTTAACGTTGGCACAATTACCCCCCCTCCCCAGTCCCTAATCCTCGAATCTCCCACAATCCTCAAGTTCCCAATCCCCAAAAGGCCGGTAACGCACTTGTAACGCCTCTGGTGTTTCAGGTGTCCATGAGCGGTGCCGATTGCTTACCATCAGGTGATCCGTCTGCTCGTTTACCAGCTTATCCCATAAAAAAGTAAAATGTCAGATGCAAAAGGATTATTATGGAAATAGGCTCACCTTCTATTACAAGGAGACTGGTTGGTACCTATATACTTAACTAACAGGATATTCTGAGCACCCTTTAAGAAAGTAATATTTTTAATTTGTATTTCTTATTTGATTTCGATCTTATCATCGCCTAGTAAACCCTCTTTCTTTTTCCATTTACATCCCACTCAAACTAATAAGATCTCGTTCGTTCATAAATAATCCGCTACGCAAAATCAATTAGAAGTCTAGTAGATTCTCCAATAGTTAGTTGTTAGGAAGCTGATAAAATCACCGGCTGATAACAGTGGAATTATTAGCCCTTGCTGATTGTTACTGCTCTTACTGCTCGAACGATGGATAATTCGCATGGACAACATCCAATTATGAGAAGGAAACTCTTCTTGGATTCTGTTAGTGCATTGCCCTTTCATGGTAATTATCTTTACCTAGAATGGATATAATAAACTAGGTTATGTTATTGTATTGGTTACCAGCGTACTTTTCACAAAATTATATAGTTAGTACTACGTACAGAGTGTAAACAGCGCTCCCAAAACGCAGATAATAAGAAATTGTTTTTACAATTTTAATAGTTTTTCTCGTGTTATTCATGCAACATCAGTCTTGTCCAGTTGATTACAACTATTGTTACATAAAATAAACATTTAACATAACGCCTTTTATTCCCGAAGGGGTACGCAGAGGTGTACATTATGCCACTGTACAATGTAACACCCACTTTTCACTATTTATGTTATGAGTACCATGTAATAGGGGGTGAGCCTATTGCCATATAACGGGCACAATTCCAGACTCCGTGCTACTACTGAGAATTTTATAAAAACCCAGTAATACTTTGCTCGACCCGGGAATCGAACCCGAGACCCCTTGCCCGGCAGTCGCAGTTGCGACCACTCGGCCAACTAGGCAGCATAAACATTAAATTCTCTACTTTTATGAAAATAATATTGGTTTTTGACTATTACTTGTAGGCGTTTTTTCGGGAGCGTTCTGTTTACACTCTGTATATAGTGTTTAAAAGAAATAGATACTCAAAGCAAAAACTGCTTGACCTGAGAAGATCCGTTTATGGTATCAATATTATCTCTACAGATAGGTACCTAATCAGGTAGTAGGTTAGTATAGAAAACACTTTCATTTATATTTGGTATCATCTACATAATATAGGTACAGATTTTGTTTATTAACACTGAAATATTCAAACGTTACCCAATTTTAAGTCGCGTTTAAATACAGAGATGGCGGTATTTAAGTACAACTTAAATTTACCTTTCAGTATTCAGACGTAGGTAAGTCTCTTAGTTATTCATTCCTAATCCACAAAAGGCCGGTAACGCATTTGTAACGCCTCTGGTGTTTCATGGGCGACGCCGATTGCTTACAATCAGGTGATCCGTCCGCTCGTTTAGCGGCTTATTCCATAAAAAAAACTCGGTACATAGCTTTTTTACACTTTACCGCTGACTGATATTATCCATACGCCTTAGTTATTAATGCTTAGTACGTGCTGCTGCTGACACATAGGCTGGCAAATTCATGTAGAAACCTATGTACCTGTATGCATGTATATCAGTCTTCTCATATTCTCTTATCTATT